TAATTATATAGAAGTAGGTAAATATAAATTAATTTCATAAAATCTTCTAGAAAAGCTTTCTAGAAGCTTTATAGACATGGTTTTGACTTTAAATGTATTTGTAGGTTAAAAAATTAGCCAATAAGTTCACCACATGTTGGTAGCTTGTAGAACAAGCTAATTATGTGGCATATATAGATAACTTGTCTTGCAAGTTAAGATATGTGTCTTGCAAAGTCAACACGTTTTGGAAGTCACATATGACACCTTCACATATTTTTTAATTAAGAGTATATATAGAAGCAAGAGTGAAGCCTTCTTCATCCTTGTCAACGCCTTTCTAGTCTTTAATCTTGTTCTAAGACTTTCTAGTCTTCTTGTTTTTGGCAATAGCCATTCTAGCTCAATATTGTATCATCTTTGAATGACTTTTTAATACCTTTTAGTAACACAAGAATGTATTGAGGGTTTTCTTTCTTTGAGATTCATGTCCTTGACATCTATTATGCTTGATATAACTATTTAATCTAACAAAAACATGTATCGACCTTACAATTATTTGTATCCTATAAAAATATATATAGATATATATATATATATATATATATATATATATATATATATATATATATATATATATATTCATAACTTAAAATCATTATACTAATCTCTTGTTCTCAAAAAGTGTTGAATTACATCACTAACCTTTTGATAAAAATATTTTAAGTAATTATTACATTTTGAAAATTAATAGTAGTATAAAAAAAAGAAATAATAAAAATTTTGAACCATTTTAATTCTAAATTACTAAAATAACAATTAAAGTTGTATAAGAAAAAAATATAATTTTTTAAAAAGTAGATATTAAGTAAGAATAGTAAGTTCTTTAAGAGTATCAAAGATAAAAAGAAGAAAAAAATAAAAAATAAAAAAAAATTAAGAAGTTTTATGAAAAATAATGTATGAAATTAAGAACACCTTTGACAATAAACTACAAAAAGAAGTGACATTTGGATTGGTCCAAATTTGTACTTAAATGATCAAGGTATCTATTGTCTTTTTACTTTATTTTTTCTATGACAACAAAATCTAATAGAAGCTTAATAAAAGAGGTTCTTAGAGTTGTAGAATATTCTCAAATTACAAAAGGAGTCCTATGGAAACTTCTAAAAGACATTAGAATGTCACATTTGGCTATAGAAGGCTAATGAAAATATATATATATATATATATATATATATATATATACTTAAAATACATGCAAAATCTAAAAAAATTCAAGACTATAGTTTATTGTATATCATTAACAAATGGTTTTGAATATTAATAATGACATAACTATACAACCTTTACTATGGTAGTAGTGCATGCTCTAATACAAGAAGCATGAAATAATATTATTTCAAGATAAAAATATATAAAAATAATTTTTGATAATAATTAAAAAATGAGTTGTTAGAGAATTTTTAATCTAAATTCTTATTATGGTTTTTTAAAAAGTTTAAAAATAATTGATAAATGCAAGTAAATCTAGTTGCACAAATGAAATTAAAAAATAAGCGATTTTTTTTAGTCATATAATAATATAAGGTTGGAAGAACCTTCTATTATTTTTCATGATCTTTTAGAAATTTGGTAGAATCTTTTATAAGTTCAAAGGAACTTTTATCCTCTTTCAAAAGCTTTAATGATAGTTAAAAAGATTTCAAAGAAATTTTTATTCAATTTTGAAAAAAATTGTAGTACTATTGAATCTTCAATAAAATATTCTACAAATTTTGTAATGGAAGTACTTTACAAGATCAAGGCATATTTTAGTCATTTCCAAAAAATATTTTATTGATCATACCATAATGTAATCTTGTTTGAAGTTATCATAATTATCATCTTTATATATATATATATATATATATATATATATATATATATATATAAATATATATATATACTACATTTTTATATTGAAATCAATGATTGATTTATTACAAATATTAGTATATTTTTTTATCATATTTTAAAATAAATTCTTGCATATTTAATACTTTAAAAATATACATATAGATAAAATTAAAATATAATTGTTTTTTCTTATAAAAAATTAAAAAGAATACTAATATTATGATAAAATAATAAATAAATAAATGACTCTTCTTTTAAGATAATTTTAATTGAAACAATCAAATAGTCATACTTATTAAACAAAAGGTTTCTTTTATCTTGTATATGATTTTAATTATTTAAAAACATATATGTTAAAAAGACTCAAATATAAATAAATAATCAATAAGTAAAGTGTTAAGTTGTTTTCTAAAGTAAAGATTATTACTAAGATATTGTCAATCTATTTTATCTAATTAGTAAAAATAATTAAAAATAATAAAACATATATATAATGAAAAAATCAAATAAAAAGTTAAAAATATATTTTATATTTAGTTTGTAACATTATTAATGAAAATTTTGATTATTTTCATCGATATTAAAATTATTGGTATTAATAGATTTTCAACACTTGCAAAGTAATAAAGTAATAATGTTGTAACAACATAATAAAGTAATAAAGTTTTCTTTTATAAGTAATTTTTTTATATATTTAAAAATAAAAAAATGATGCCAATAAGAATATATGTCTATCTTACTACTTTTTATATTTTGTATGATATTCTCAATGATGGTGGGTAGTAGAATAGTGATATTGTTATACATGATTGGATTACAAAATAAGGTAATTTTATTATGTAACTTTTGAAATCAATACAATTTTCCATGTAGTCTTATGCAATCCAATTTTTGTAGTGTTAAAAAGTAAGAACCTTATTCTATGTTATACAAATAAACATGAATACATAATTGATTAGAATGTATTATAATATAAATGCAACATATGTGGTATTGGTGATGCACAATCTTTCATTATAATTATTGGTTATAATACCAAGGATAAAAAAAAAATATCTACATAATATAAGATATTATATTTGATCAATTTGTAAGCCTAGCCATACAACAAGCTTAAAACCTATTTATAGAATAAATATTTGATCTTTTCAAAAACTACTATTGAAATTTTATTTAGATTTGATGGTTATTAAATTTTATTTATACGCACATAGTGCTTTAATTCTTTGTATTAGTGTTTTAATTTTATTTTGATTCAATTCTCCAAAGACCAATAACCCCTAATAGATGATCAAAAATTTTAGAATCAACTCTATTCTATGGTTCATAATTAATAAACTCTAATCTCTAAGAATTAAATGAGTTTCATTGACTTTTATAAATTAATAGAGATAATTAATTGAAACTACGTGGCCAACAAGGCCACACAATTGCAAGGATAGAAGCAAGCTACACAGTTGGTAGGGTCCTAACAAGAATGATTTTTATCTTGCCTTCAACACACCACCTCTAATGATTAATAATCCTTAATAATTAATACTTTTTTCTTGTAATAGATGATATAAATTAAGGAGGGGAACATTGTATATAATCCAGCTTAACTATTAAGTTCAATTCCACAAATAAAGTATAGTATTTTTTTTACTATCAAACCAAATTATTACATAGAATAACATAAAAATATAACAAAATAAATATTATTAAATCTAAAAATCATGTTTATGAATGTTTCAACAAAGTTCAAGTAATAAAAAAAAATAATTCAATCAAACTTTAATTATTGTTTTTAATTCCAACTTAGTAAACCACAACCTAAAATCCAACTCTACCACAAAACTAATTATATAACAGAACAATATATTCAAGTAATAAAAAATAATAATTCAATCAAACTTTAATTATTGTTTTTAATTCCAACTTAGTAAACCACAACCTAAAATCCAACTCTACCACAAAACTAATTATATAACAGAACAATATATTGCAAACAATTGCATAGCAACATTTCACAAATGAGAAACAAAAGCTTTCTTCTTTCTCTCTCAATATTTAATTCCACATAAAAAACAATTCGTCATCGCATCAAAACAAGAAAACGACAAACGCTTGAATTTCCCTACCCTTGTTCGAATTTGTCCACACACATTTGGAATGTTTTCTTGTCTTTCATACAAAAAAATATACATAAAAAAAATACCAATATAACATTCCAAGTGAAAAAACGACCACCACCTAACACAAGTAACCGCAAAACCAAAACCAAATCTAGATCGAACGAAAACCCGGATCATCACCGCAGCGTAAGAAACCGCGAGATTGCGACGACGACGACGAAACGATGAATCGATGAAGCAGAAGCAGAAGGAGAAGAAAAATGCGAGATGGCGACACCGAAGTGCGCGTACATGCGGGGAAGGAAATGGAAGAACGAAGTAGTCGTCGTGGTAGGTGCGATCGGGCGAGCGCCGACCACCGATCCAGTCGCAAAGTGTAAGCTCGCTCGCGGCGGATGATAAAGCCATCGGAATAAATCGATGAATGACGGAGCTCTAAAAGGACGCCGAACATTCGGCATCGTGAAGGGAGAGCGAGGGAGTGAGTGGATGAGCGCGTGAGAGAGTGCGTGAGTGAGAGAGTGATTGAAGAGGGAAGGGATATACAAAAATCCAACACTCGATTTCTCATGTTGTCGGGTACCTCGTAACGTGTGCACACTACTCTGAGTGTCGAACCCCGCGGTGATAATCAATCCGAAGTGGGGTTGGTTCCTTCGTGCCCCCACCCCTTCTCTCGGATCCGTGTCCATGTGGAGGCCTCTACCCGAGAGTGGCGTGTATGTATGAATGTGTTGTTATTGTTGTTGGGGTCGTAGATCTGGAGACCTTCCCTTTGCTTTGTCACGTGATGAGAGCGGGGAGAGTGAGTGTAGCTAGGGGCGGAATATTCTTGTGCTTCCTCCCCGAAATGGCGTTCAATGTTCGCCGAGGTACCCATGTGAGTTTTTGATGATTGCGCTCCCTGCTGCTTCCACTGTTGTGTGATGAAGAGGCTCTAGGGTTTGAGGGTGCGTGGGTTTGGGATTTCGAGCTCGGGAGAGAATGAGATTTTGGGTGGGTGGGTGGGTGGGTGCATTGTGGGCTTGGGAGGTGGTCGCGCTGCGGTGGTGTGCGAGTTCTGCTGGTTTTTGTGTGGGTTTCTGATGCTGTGAAAACCCTACTCTGTGAGATTGTGCTGTATGTGGGATGTGTGATCTGCTAGAATGTGGAGCGGGGAGTGTTTTGTGAGGGGGAGTTGGGAGGTCTCGCGGTGGCAGTTGGAGCGTGTGGGCATTTGCTGGCTTAGTGGGTGGTCCCGAGATCTGTGGTGTTATCTTGTACGTTTTTTATTTTTTATTTTCTCGCAAGGGATCTGATCTGCGAGAATTTTGTTGCGGGCATGAATCTGGGAGGAGAAATTGATGGCTAGTTGGCGGTCGTTTCAAGCTGGAGGGGAACGATTCGGGTGGTGTCAGGGATTTGGGACAGGTGTAAGGATATTTGGGTCGATGCAGGGGTTTCGGAGTTTACGTTTAGCGCTGCGATGTGACCTCGGGTGATAGTTTAGTCGCGTCGATCTAATTTCAAGATGCATGTACTGGGGTGGATTTGACTTAGGATGTTACTGTTAGCAGCAGCACTTTTTAGACCTATTGTCGCTAGCTTGCGTAGATTGACAATTGAATTCCCCCCTGGATGTAAATCATGGGAATCTGGTGAACTGCGGTATCTCTTGAAAAGTTTGAGGCCAATTGTTTTTGGTCTTACAAATCTTGCTGATGGAGGAGGACGAGGATATTCTATAGATTTCTTTTAGTATCTTGATTCGTCTAAGGTGTAAGCTGCTTCTGGCTGGATTACTTACTCGGCATACATACCATCAAGTTCATCTCATTGAATTTTAAGCAGATGAACTGTCCCATCCTAAAGATCTCCCGTCTTCCGAAAGTTGCAGTAATGAAATCTGCAGAACGCGCTGTGTTAACGGTTAATTGCAGTTGTGGTCATTTTTGGGTCGCTGTTCTATTATGTAATCTTTTAGTTTCATTTCTGCAAGCGCCCGTACCATTGAATAGCTAGTTTTGGAGATGTGCCCATAACATGTGTTACGCTACTCCTGTGTTGGAGACTTTGGGGAAATGCCTGCAAATGTATTGAGTATGCTATAGCTCCTACTATTCTCACGTTTAGAGCCTGCTTTGCATACAGGGTAGGTTTACTGTTCGCGGGGATTTTGAAGTATTCAGGTCATTATCAACTAATGTTGATTTTGAGGTTAATCATTTCACAAGAACTTTTCTAACATGTGTTTCTTGCGTCTTTTCCAGGCTGCAGAAAACTCCAATCAATCTCATGTGCATTGTGAAGCATGTGATCTGAAATCATTGCTGGAGTAGAGAGCTCTTGGGGCATTGGAGGCAATCGGTTGTACAAATGTACTGGATCTCATGACAAGAGAAAAAGGTTACATGAATTCTAACGTCGAAGAGAGTAGCCAGGTTGCCAAGCTTCAATAGGAATAAGAGTACCAGCAGTAGATTGATTGGGTGTCTAAGGGCATGAGCAACAATTTCATTTTTCTAGAGACATTGTGGCTCCTACCTTGGCGGGAAGAAGCCAAAAGCCTGGGTCACCAGTCCACTTGTGGAAATGGGTGAATGGATTACCGGAGCTGCGATCAATGTGGTGGGCAGCATAAGCATTAATTTTGGGACGAATTTGCTCAAGCTTGGACACAATCAGGTAGCGCTGATCTTTTCTGTCATTATTATAAAATTACGCTGCTTGATTCGTAAGGCGGTTTCTCATGCTTTATGATCCAACTTTCGCATTCAAATGGTTGGCCTCTGTTATGTGCCTATTTCTAGATAATCGAGGTGATATTCTAGTCAATCGATTTTAAATGATGATGTAGGTCGCAGTAACGTCATGGAGTTAGCTTCCCTCAAGTGATAGCCGTTGACTTTATCCTGTGGACATTTTTTAAGCGGTTACGGATCACCACTTATAAATGGTCTTGAGCAGTGTTTATCCTTTTGTTGCAGAGGGAACGGCAAGCACTTGTACTGGACACAGATGATCCTGAAGACAAGATTTTGCCTAGGAAGCCTGTAACACAATATCAATCATGGCGTATAGGTGTTTCTCCTGCTTTGTATTAAATTTCTTACGTTAAAAGATGACAATGACCTTTTTGGCACGATAAAATCTCGCTCCGATTCTTTAGTTATCTTGATTATGAAACAAAAATTACAACCAGTCCACTCATTTAGTTAGTGGTGCTTCATTATTGCATATTTTATATTGTCCTTGAAGCCCTATCTTTCGGGTTAATGTAGTTTTAAGGTCTTTTAGCCAGTGTTTTAACTCCTTTGGTATTGTGCACTTCTATAGGTGTGATTGTTTTCTCTCTTGGGAACATTTTGAACTTTATATCCTTCGGCTATGCTGCCCAGGTGACTCCTGCAACCTTTGTACCCAGGTTTGGTTCAAGTTGTATTGAATTAAGTTTGAATAATTTCACTGGTCTATGAGTACTTGACCCTCTTGGTTTATATCCAGCTCTATTTTTGACAGGTTTAGTATCAAGGCTAATTTTAATATCTTCTCTAATTTTGATTTCGATGCTGAAATATCGTACTTACGTTTACCTCTTAATGTCTGTTCTTTCTTTAATTATTTGCAACTTCAATTGTCATTGTTTTGCTTGCAGTCATTATTGGCAGCTTTGGGCTCAGTACAATTTGTTTCCAATGTCTTCTTCGCCTACCTGATGCTGAATGAGATTGTAACTAGGCGGTAAGCAAGTGCCATGTTTCTCACCCACATAATATAGAGATACTTTTATAGGACTTGTTAGTGATCTGTCAACTTAGTGCGGAGAGTAATATTAGCTCACGTCATAGTGAGCGGTTATGTCCGGCTGGTTCAGTGTTCAGGGTTTTCTGTTTTCATGCAAGTCATGGGTCTTATCTTTGAATGAAGGCATGAGTTTCATTTCTTATAATAAGCCTCTTTTAGCGTTGCTGCTGTTCTATTTGTGTATGAAGTTGTAATTATTCGTCTATGGTGGTGACTGTTGTTTTTATCTCATATTGGTAATCCTTAAAGTATTATTCATATGGCTATGTTTGGCCGGATGGCAGAATTATTTTGGCAACGGTATTCATCATGGTTGGGAATGGCTTCCTTGTTGCGTTTGGGAATCATCAGTCCGTGAGTAAGTTTCATTTCTTTTGCTTGAACATCTGCTTTGAGCATTCTAGACTAGCTGATGAACTGTCATGCGTGATGATTTTGCCGTAGACCAACCTGGTAACGTTATTTGTGCAGTTTACACACATGGGCAGCTTTTGGCAAGTTACAAGGGGCATATTTACCTTACGTATTTGTTCATTCTTCTGTGTATTGTCGCTGCGCATCACTCCATATACAGGTCTGTGACTGGATCTTTTGGATTATTGTGCTGGATTGCAGTAAGCTGTATTTTTTGCGGCTACTCATTTTATATTTCCAAGGTGTTTTTTCGGTTTTCTGTGCTGTGGAGAGGAAGATGTTTTATGCTTTCCTTCGCTATAAATCTCCCTTACTGCTGTGCCTCCAAGGGATAACCTCGGGGCGACAACTTATAGGATGATACTACTAGTTCTATGTATATTTTGACTAATATCGTTTTACCTTTCTACTTGACAATTGTTGAGCTCTTGTGATGATCTTTTAGCTTGAATTTTCACAGACGGGGAAGGCAACTTGCTGCATCGCGGGGAGAGGATCCTGTTGGTGTATGGCGGATGTTGCTGCCATACACATATGCTGTTGTCTCGGGTGCTGTTGGTTCACACTCTGTTTTGTTTGCGAAGTCTCTGTAAGTTTGTTGTGCTCTATCTATAAGTGAAATGATTTTGTAGATATTTTTCTTTACACCTGTACTGGCCTCGAAAGATGCATACGTTGCTCCACTCCAAATGTTTTTAATTTAGGAAGCATGTGAAGAGCTTTGGGCAATATTTTTGCTGGAGGAACATGTGGTTATTAGATGTAATTGTTATTCTTTGAACTTCTCTTTTACTTTCGTTTATCTGCATATCTAAGTAACTTTGTTCGCTGTTTTTGTCTATTTTTACTAACTACAATCTTTTGTCGAATAAATGTGGAAAAATGAAAGTTTGAGAGGATTAGAACCTGCTTTTAAGTAGCTGCATTGCTGTTTATCAATCGTTCTCTACTAACGTCTTTTTTAAAGTATGTGGATGGCAAGTTCGCGAATTGTTTAGGACCAGGAAATCAAAGTGGCGTCTGACATGGTTACAACTGTAGTGATTATTGATGCATCTTCTTTCGAATTACAGGTCGGTTCTGCTTCGATCGACGTTAGAAGGTGATAATCAACTGGATGGTTGGTTCACGTACATTGTTTTTTTCTTATTTGTGGGAACAGCCTCATTTTGGGTAAGTGGCTTCTGAATCATCAACTTGATTTCTTGTAACAAATTTTCAATGTGACTGTTCATTTAGCATTAAATTTGGCTGTAAGGTTTGGGCTTTGACACGTGTTCGACATTTGGTTTTGACCAGCTTTGTACAATGAAATATGATACTTAATGTCAGCCTATGGATAAGTGGGCAAGTAGAATATTAGATGCTTAGTTTGAACAGTGTCTAGTACATGAAGTTGGTCAGATTCCTATATCTATTCGGTAAGGGCACCGGAGTGTACCTCTCTGGGTGTTTATCACTGGTAACTTTTTACAGACAGAGCTGTGTGCGAACGGCTTACCCTTTTTTGCAATTGCAGATGGCCAGGCTCAATGATGGATTGGCTATGTTCGATGCCATTCTAATTGTACCCATGCTTCAAATTGTTTGGACTTTCTTCTCAATATTTACGGGTTTCATCTATTTTGAAGAATACCGGGTTTGCGAACCATTCTTCTTTTCATTTTCACGTTTCCCTGTTTAATGTTTGATGCACATGAACATTTCTCTTATGGTGCAAGTTGGTGTGTTCGAGGTGGTCTAAAGAACTGTGTTTTTAGTAATATCTAATCGCTCATTTACAACGTTTAGACTTTGATGTTATTGATAATGTTGGTGTACTCTTACTAAAACATCAAACATAGGTGTGTCCCAATATGAAAAATTTAATGAGGATTAGGTTGCACCTGAACTGAATGTCAAGATTTGAGGTGAACAAAACTGATGTCCCTGAGATTGTGACTTGATGTCTTGTGAGCAGGTGTTTGACCATTTCCGAGCTACAATGTTTGGAATTGGTGTTTTGGCTCTCTTTGTCGGCATGTCGCTCCTTGCTCCTCAGGCTCCCCAGCTTGGCTCTAAAGGTTTTCTTCAGCTCCCAGTTCATGGCCATAGAAGAAAGAAAAGCCGGACCCGCATTGAAGCTAGCATGAATTCTCCTCATTGGGTCACTATTTGGCGCCATAGACTCTTGAATCTGTTAGACAACCGCGATGAAGACATCCTAGATCGGAATCCACTCCTTCCTTTGTGGACTAACTTAGGGATCCAAATGTTGGAGAGCTGGACAATCGAGTTGCCTCCTTAGAGTCTAAGTTGGTCAAAGTCTCTTCTCAAATGTTAGTGGTAATGATTGAATTTTTAAACATTACAAAAGCACCGTAAGCCGAAGCTAACCTAGATATATTCAGGGAGCTTCTGCATGGGTCCATTGAGCTCCTATCTAGTCTGAATAATTCCCTTAAAGTTTTATCAGAGTGATGCCTGTAGCGGTAGTCCATGAATATCTGTTGTGACGAAGTGTAGATAACCTTCATTTGGAACCAGTGATGTACGATACCAATAGTGTTCATTTGGTATTATTTTTCAATACATCAGTCAATACATGTGTTGTTCACAATGTGGCCTCTCGACTCCAATTTGTGCTTGCATTTGACGATTTTCTTGTCGGATCCCTCAGGTTCTAGTACGAAAACGGAGAGCGACAGTGAGACTGAATTTTCGCCATTGATTTCCGATGCGTAAGTGTTTTGCCCATAGTCAACTTTTAAGTATTTGGATCTTTCTTTCTTGTTCTAGTTTTGACACCAGATATTTTATAATATAAATTGCAAATCTGCAGTTGAAGTGCAGATAATGCATTGATTCTATGGAATTTTAAAATGTCGGGACTACAGATATAGTACTTGACCAACGAGGAATGCCATGCTGATGTCTCTTTTCTATACCTGTGTTCTTGCTGCAGTCCTTCAGATTACCGAGAGCCTAAGAGAACTTTGGCGCAACATGTGTACACAGACGCAGCTGCAGTTGTAGGTCGAGCCAAGGTATACTCATTTGCCTCAACGTTTCCCTGTTGTAACAACACTAATATTATTTAATTTCTTTTGTTGTGGCTTGGAATCCTGGGAGAACTTGTGATGAATGTGGAGGAATTGCTTCTTTACGTGGCAGCTTAAATCAAATGACTATTATTCTTTGCACATGCGTTGGAGATTAACTTTAAACAATCAACTCATTTTCTGGCCCTGGATTTCGTCACTTCTCGTTAGATTTAGTATCTGTGTACATGTTTATAAAATCATGTAGACAATTCCTGACCGTAGAATGCTTTTGGCGTCAGTTTCTAGTTAATCTTTAATCTAGTTAAGGCTTAGTAATCGGGTGCATGTTGCTTGGAATGTGCAGTCTGCTGCTAGGATGACGCTGGGACTTGGCCAGGACCGTATTCATGCGTCATCCGTATTTTCGATGCCCATGATAGCCTCTGCACGCACTCCATGGAGGACACCAACTTTAAATTCTGAGTGGCTAATCAAGCTCACTGATCCTCGAGATGTTGAGAACGCCAAGGGGATCAACATCCGACTTGACAGCTTGTAACATATTCTTGAAACTCTGCGAGGATACTTTTGTTCTATTCACTTGATTCTATCGCTTGTCATGAGGAAATGTTTTTCAACACTTCTTCGTACATTCTGCGCTCCTCACACCATTTCAGTTTAGTCAGTATTTAGAGATACTTGTTTAGTATATGATACGGAACCGATTAGGTCTGCACTGACCTGGTCCTTTTCTATTATCCTTGTTCAACTTGCATTGTTACATTCTGAGCAAGTTAGATTGTAGTCAATTGAGACTAGTCAATTAGATATGAATTCTAGGTGTAAGCGCTTTCTTGGACACAAGGGGGAGATTTCCTTGGCTTGAAAACCATTCACACTTACGACGCAAAGTTGTGATACAATGTATCGCTCTTCTGAACTTGCCTTGCTTTCAATGAACAATTCGTACAAGCATATCAAAGAAAATGATAGCAAAACTTCTCAGATCCAGGTAGTTTTTGTTTGAAGCGTATGTCTGTCTGCTGGATTGGTAATGTGGCCTTCTGTCGTTTGATCAACGGACTCGTTTGGACTGAAATTAGTTATCTTTCTGGGAATGTTTTTTCTTGATTCTCTATTTAATTGCATATTTTGTTTAGTCACATTAACATCAATGAAAAGTCATGGTGATTGTAAACTATGAGTAACGATTAGGAGGGCTGCTGTAAGTTTCTATTTACAAGTGTGGGAGATTTCTATTGCAGATAGTTGGTGCAGGTGGTGGATAGAAGGAAAAATGCTCATACAAGAGAAGAATCTGAATTATTTGAGGCAAGTGACATCTGCACAACAGGCTTCACTCATGGAATGGGTGGAGCACAACATGATCCTTATATATTTGAGAACTTTTCCTTCTCTTGAATTGAGTAACAAGTTTTCATCTTGCAAGTAACTCCAAAGGTAAATTCGGTTTTCATTTACAATTTGCAGATAGTACTAGTTTTCTACACACCTGGCTCAGTTAAATGTTAGAAGAATAGTAGGAATGATTTGTAGCCCTGATGATAGAAGGATGGATCATTTCAATTTCATAATGATATTATTAAATAAAGCAATCTACAATATGTGCTCTCAAGTTTGCAAAGACATTGGTAAATGGAATCAAAGTTCAATCTTCTACAAGAAGAGCTAAATTATGTTATTTGTTTCACTATTTTTTGTCGTCTTGTTAAGGAATTGTAATATAATATTAGATATAGAAACAAGATAAGACATGGATAAACCTTGGAGAAATAAGATGTAGTTATTATCTAAGAAACTTCTCGTATTAGAAGAAAAGATTTCATAAACTTGAATTTGAGATTGCAAGTTCTTCACTTTAAATTTACATAAAAATGGGGTTTTATAAAAATATTTCTAAAGTGACAAAAGAAATTCAGTTTGAGACATTTCAAGTGCTAATAATAATTTTAATGTGCTAGGAGATTTTGAAGTAAAACAAACAATTTAATGACACATTTTTTTGTCAAATTGCATTTTGACAATTATAATTTTAAAAAAGAAAAAAATGTAGTAAAGAATAAAATTATGTGAACGTAAATTTTTATATAGTGTATAAATATAAATATAAACATAATATTTTTTGAAAGGCTATTTTAATATCTATTTCTTTATTTTTGGCACCCTTTGAGTGCAATGTACTTAAGTTTGTAAGATGGATGTTTGCATTTGAGAGCCATTTTAATAAGTGTTACATGATAAATACTTTAATAATCTAATTTTAGAATATAATTTGTCATTTGGAATTATGATTGACAAATTTATAGAGTTTCTATAAAAAAATTATACTTTATTTATTTTACTACTATTCGCATGTTCAAAAACCCACTCAAACAAACACACATTAAGTGCTCTCGTTTATGCCAGCCACCAAAGAACGGATGAATGAAATGTTGGATGAAATACAATTAAATGGATGTATGAAGCTCATCTGTTCATCCTCTGTGTCGACGAAGGCCTCGGAACGCGCTGCGGGAGCGCGAGGGCTTGCGCGGCGTCGCTCGCACCACGTCTCTGCTCGCATTGGCGTTGCCCGATTTCGCAGTAATAGAAGGCTACGGAGCTTCTACCTTATTGGAGATGCGTCACGCTTGTAGCCGGACCTGGCCCCTGCTGTCCTTTCGCTGTGCGCGTCTCGGATTCATAACCAGCTGCCAGAGTCGTCACCACATGCGTCCTTTTCTTCGTCGATTTTGGAGTGAAGAGCAGTTGTTCGCATTCTGTGGAGGTACTAGATTGTGATGTGGGTTTTGTCTGTGATTGTGCGCGTGAATTTATGGACTGTGTTTTGTTTTTTGTCTTTGTTGTGTTTTTAGAGACATACTGGCGATGTCTGTTCATTTTCTCGTGTAGTTCTTTTTCTTGGAGTTGTATGAGCTATTGAGTTGGGTCGAAGCCAACACCCTTCAGTTTAGATATGTGGTGTACAGGGTCATGTTTCCTTGTTATACCGACATTGTTAGAAAATTTGCCTCGTGCATCTTGAATTTCAGGCGCTCTTACTCTGAAATTACCACGATTCTTCGTTGCAGCTCAGTCGTGAAACGCACCGAATATCTCATCTCAGTATTTGAGTTATGGGTAGTGTAGAAGAAGTGGAGGAGAATGTAGTAGAAGTCTCGGATTTGGAGTTCGCTTATGGAGGCCAAGCACCCTTCATCAGCAAGTTCTCACTTAAGCTCAAGCGCGGATCTCGGTGTCTCCTCATTGGTGCCAATGGAGCCGGTGAGTTGGAATTCAGGTTCTGAATTGCATTTTATTGTAATGGAGTTTCTATTAATTTGCACCCAATCCTTTCTACCGATTCATGTAACTTTGTAGAAGTTCGTAGCAAGTTAGGGTTTTATCTTTAGTCAAGTAATTGAGTATCCGAATGATTTTCTTGTCCTTATTATATTTTTAATATGATATTCTTATCTAACCATATTTGAAGGATTATCACGGTTGATAAAGCATTCCATTTTCTCCTCGAAAGTTTCTTTCCTGATTGGTGCTCACCACAAAATAGCTTAAATGACTTGGAATTTGTACTACTGCTGCATGTCTTCTTCCAAAAATGTCACTCTGAAATGTTTTCTGAGAATATTTGGGCAATAATGTCGAAGTGATTGTTGTCGTCACTGAGTGATTTAGTACAATGTAGGCAAAACGACTCTGCTGAGAATTTTAGCCGGGAAACACTTGGTGGGAGGCAAGAATGTGGTGCGTGTCTTGGGTCGCTCTGCCTTTCATGATACAGCTCTGACATGCTCGGGTCAGTTGGCTTACTTGGGTGGATCTTGGAGCCGAACCGTTGGCTGTGCGGTACGTTCTCCCACCACTTTACACTGTGCTGGTCTTGTGTAAACCTGATAAAGGATAAGACTCTTTTTGGAGTCATTCCCTGTCGGTGTACTTGAGAATGTGTTTTGTTTGTTTAATTTGAGTGAGTTGAAACGAGCAGTGGTGTGGTTTAAAACTTATTATTGAATGACATTCTCTTCTCAATTAAAACTTATGGACCTAGCAATGAATAATGAGAACCATACGTATAATTGCAGGGTGAGATTCCTTTGCAAGGTGACTTCTCGGCTGAGCACATGATTTTTGGAGGTAAAGTTCGTTTGTTTTGGATCCTTATCTAAAGCACTGCGTGCACAGTTGATTCCTGCATCGCTAGATTACCCAGTTTTCTAGACATTTCTTGCAATCGTGTATGCCTTTCATCCTTTGTGAAGTGAATTCACTATGAACATATCACAATTGTCTTATTATTGCTTGCCTTAAAGTCGGTCACTTTGTAGAAAAAGATCTCGTTCACAGTCTCTCGCTCTCTCTCTCTCTCTCTCTCTCTCTCTCTCTCTCTCTCGTTCTCCTACTCTCTCTGAGCTTACCATGGGCATGTTGTGATACTACCGTGGTTGTTCAATGTATTCACACTCTTGGCGTTTGTGATTGAGGGATTTGATGTTGGACATTATTTGGTAAAACCTTTGTGATTATTTTTTTGAATCGCTGTGGAGTATGATATTAAAAGTGAAATGCTGATAAACTGTTTCAAATTGGTGGTGGCAGTGGAGAACGTAGATGAGGCAAGACGAGCCCGTTTAATTGAGCTCCTGGATATCGATCTTCGTTGGCGAATGCACAAAGTTTCCGACGGACAACGTCGTCGAGTTCAGATTTGCATGGGGTTGTTGCACCCTTTCCAGGTCTGCTATGACTTCCACATATCATGATATGTGTCACCTTCTTCATCTCGGATATTAAGAGACACCCCTCATGGTGTGCTTCTATTCTTAGAGGAATATGATGGGATTGCATTACCAGTACTGGAAGGTAATGTAACAATTGGTGAATCTCGGCAGTGTTGCCTCCTGGAACATCTAATTATTAGATTGTTAAAGATCATCGCAGCAACAAGGTCCATTGGCATTAAGAATGATTTCTCACAATTGTGTAAGGATGCATGTGCAGGTCTTACTTCTGGATGAAATTACCGTGGATCTCGATGTTGTTGCTCGCATGGACTTACTTGCTTTCTTTGTAGATGAATGTAATGAGGTAAATCTATGCATCCTTTTTTCTTCTATGTGGGTGTTGCGTTAACATCTATAGCTATGGTGTCATGCATTAATCTAATTGGTAATCTTATGACTTACGTAGAAGCCCATCAGTTTAGTTTAGTTGCCATATCAGCATTCTACTTCTGGATAATTGGCAATCGCTATGCAGCTTCTAAATATTATCATCTTGAGTTTAGACGCGCAAGTGGTATTCTCATTTCATGGTCAGTCGAATCACCCTGACAGTATCCAATATTTTGACGTATGCTTCCCACTTCTTGCATACTTATCCGCTCTGTGTTTTTTCCTGTTTTGCAGAGAGGAGCCACTCTGGTTTATGCAACACACATTTTTGATGGTCTGGAAACGTGGGCCACAGATATAGCATACGTAGAGGATGGAAAGCTGAAGAGGGCGCAACCAATCAAGGAGCTTCAAGAGTTGTTACCTCCAAGTAAAGCGAAAAATTTGATTCAAGTAGTAGAACCCTGGCTCAGAACAGAGCGCGAAGAGAGGGAGAAGAAAGGTCCAGTTACACAAGCCAAAGTGGGTACAGTTACACGCCCTGCTGATGTGTCTCCATTCACTTCCAGTCGCCAAATGGCCTACTATAGGTGATGCCCTTCTCGTTGGGCCCCTTTCGAGTTCGCCCCTCCCTTTTGTTGAGTAGCGGGATGCACTGAGTGGCATTCGCTTTATTTACATAAAGAAGTTCAATGTAGCAAGGGATTTTATTAAAGGTGTTACTGGGTAGTTGGAGGATTTGGGGCGTCCTCTAAAGTTGGTTGATAGGATTGATATGGATTCTGCTTGCATAAGTTGTTATGTCCAGCTTCATTATTGAAGAAAACAGCTTCCATCGCGAGATGTATGATGGGGTTGTTTTCGAGTAGTATGTGAAAGGTACATCACAGGTATGTAAATCGAGCCTTCATGACAGGTTCACAACCATGGTTCAAGTACCTAGCAGAACAAGAACAGAGCCTTTTCTCTGGCGCTCCCGTAGGATACTAGCATCATTGTTGGGTATATTGATTTACTATAATTGCCATCTGCCCGTGGAGGGTACATTTTTTGCTATGTGTTTTCCTTTCAGAAAGGTCTGCCTCATTATTTGAAAGCGATTTGTATATATTTAGGGATATTGGTGCAAAAATTTAACTGAATCACACTTGGGGAAATTTCAACTTGCTAATTTCCTTGTACCCGCGTTGTATTGTGTGATGATCAAGTCCATCTTTTCATTATCACAAATAATTCATTATCACAAATAGAGTATGATATTACGATATCGTCACAGATATTGTGAAAATTTGAGACCTAATGGATTGAATCTTTTGGAATATTCTCGTTCATACTGTTTGGCAAAATTTCGAAGAAGGTTTCTGATTTATAGCAAACCGGTTTGGTAAATAATTTGAAAAAATCACAATTAAGAAAATTCTAAAAAATTCAACCAACCTCACATCACTTGATATTCAGTCAATCAGGGAATTGACTGAAGCTAATAGTCACCCTCTAACAGTTGGAATTCAAGCAATTATGGAATTTCGACAACAGGCACCAAAATAATAATAATAATAATAACAACAATATAAGGTGGCTATGAGTGTACTTACATCTCTGTGTGCATGTGTGCAGTACAGTTCTCACAGCATAGTGAAGAAAAACAAACAGAACCTGTGCAATAAAATCACAGAGAACTCTTCACAGTAGTATCACATGCCAACTGTGAGTTAATAGACACTATTAATTTCTCAAATAGTTAGAACCATCAAAACTGAACACATCATGCTAACAACACACATGTCCAATGACCCTTTCAATTGATGATATCCACTCACAACGTTGCCCCCCAGAGTGAATTCTTCTTGTGACAAAACTGGCCAGCTCAATCTCTACAGGAGTGTAATAGTACAAAGCTAAGAGGGGATCCAGAGCTAACAATGTGATGAAGGGAAGCCTGACTGACTTCCTCCTCTTCCTTCACACACTAGCCTTTGTCCAGTCCCCCTCTACAGTCCTATGAAGCTGACATTCGCAGCCAGCCAGGCATCCATGTGTGTGTCTGAGAATGGTGGCCCTCTTTCTTCTTCCGCAGGCTCTGAAGTGGGACCCATATTGTCTAATTGTTAATAATGGATCCAGTTCTGACTCCCTAGCAAGGGCAGAGTAACTGCAGCAGCAGAAGGCACCTTGCATTAACACTTGGATAGCCACATGCTCTTCAGATAATAGGGGCCATACCCCAGGGCACATGTGAAGGGGTTTTTAACTGTCGCAGTTGTGGGAAGAAGTACCACAATAACTCACCTCACTGGTACTCAGCCACACAGACAGATAGATAGACAGACAGACAGACAGACTTAAGTTACTCACGTCCATCGGGCTTCACCACCACCATGTTTTCTTCTTTCCTTACCATAGCTTTGGCTTTTTTTGGATGCCTTTTATTCACTCCTTGCAAAACCAACATCCATGAGACAGCCTTAAGATTGTACTTAACATCAAGTAAAGCTGGCGCTGTGTTTGAGTTTTCAGCACTCATTCTCTCGGTGCAAAGGAGTGACTAGTGTTTGGTGTTGATGGAGTTATTTTTAACACTTGGATGGGATTTTAAAGGGTTTTATCCGAAGAGCATATGGAGTAGGAGTGGTGATGGTGATGGATTTGTGGATAAAGCAGCATTTTAAAGGGTTTCCATCTGTCACATACAAAGGACATTTTTTGTTGTTGTTATTGTTAAGAAGGAGTTATTGCAGAAGGTACTTTTTAGGCACAACACATACTTGAAGACTTCAAGACAATTCATGTAAAAAAAACAAAAAACAAAACAAAACAGAGGCTACTTTCTCAAAATCAAGTTACCACAAACACAGACAACAAAACTTATTTTATTTGTTTAAGGATGGACAATGTTAACAAATGGGTCCACCACAAAGAAAATCTTTAGAATTTTCTTAACTCTTCTCAAACAATAAACAGGACAAGACATAAAACCAAGACAATGAAACTCAGTTGCTTGTTAGAAAAACATTGGCCATCCTTTTCACACAAAATCCACAAACACACACACACTTGACCATATGCACATACAAACAAAACAAACAAACATACATACTCACTTGTGGGCAAGTTATCACCATCTCTCTACTGCTTTCCCTCATGCCAGGTGGGATTTTCCCCACATGAGATACATCACACACACACACACACACTCTACACCCAAGTAGCTCACACTCCCTTGTCTCCTAAGCCACTAGACTGCAGCCATGGCAGCTGCAACAACAACAACAACATTAACCCAATTTAGCATTGATACCACAGAACCCTTCAACTAGCAGAGCAGGAGGGGTGGGGAAAGGACCAGGTCCACGCTGAAGTGTACCCTAATTTTAAAAACCATAACAAATGTTATTGATATTCTTTGATTGCAACAATTGACCCATTCTATAATGTACCCTAATAACACACGTCCCTCACCCTCCCTCCCATTACAGTGTCACAAGGACTTGCAGGGTGTGTGCATATACTGAGTTAAAAGACCAACTGGGTAGGGATGAGGGATTGTGTAAATGGGGCGGACTTGAGAGCTGTGCAGTGAAGTTATGAGCATGGAATGTTTCTGTTGTTGTTGCAGGGCCTTGGATTTTGAGGCTCAGGCTCCCTGTTCTGGGAATGTGTTCCCATGTGAGGTGCTGAGGAAGAGCCTAAAAGGTGGCATTAAAAAATTAAAAAATTAAAACTAGGCCATTCCATTTGTTGCTTTGTGCTGACCTTGGCCTGAAGCGTATTTATTGAGGAATTGGTGTCTTCACATCTTCCAAGGATGACCCTGGGCAGCTTTTATCTCTTTATACCGTGCTTTATGGAATGATAAATATATATATATATATATATATTTGTAAAAGGGCAAGTTGAAAATTAGATAATATAAGAGGATTCAAATAGATATCTTGGTTGTATTTTAAGGGAAAATAACATGAGTGAAAATCCCTTGTTGAAAGATATGTTAACAATAAGAAAGAAAAGTGATTGTTTGTTTGATTGTTCTAGTTTTGTTTTGTTATTGTTTTTTCGTTTTTTTTGTTTTGTTTTGTTTTGTTTTTGTTTGTTTGTTTTTTGTTTTTTGTTTTTTTTTTTTTTTGTTTACTTCTTCTACAAGTGGAACTAGGACATAGTGATTATTTTGAATGTGTAGAGTATTAATGTGTTTATTCAAATAATCAAAATCAGAAAATGCTTACCTGTTTGATATTCTAGTTCATACCAATCATAATTTGAAACAATACAAAAAACTGAGAAATCCAAGTTTTTTTCTTGTATATATATATATATATATATTTATAATTAAACATATTCATAAATTATATGTCTATCTTTTGGCTTCCAGACATTGTAAGCATGAGAAGATTATAAATGAATGAAGTATATGAATACTATATTAAGTCAGATTTAGACTTATAAAAAGATGCCAAATAAAACTCCCATGGTAATTTCTCATTATGAACAATTCATTCTTTAAATTTCTAACTTAATTTTAAAACTCTCTAGATTTGTTTGAACACATTCTCTCCTTCACACACATGCCCAACTGTGTGTATGTTATTCTTCTACTTCTTGATAAACTTGTCTGCCTACCTCCAATGTTATAAATTTTGCATTCAAATATGTTGCCAACTTTACCATATTTTTACTTAATATACTCTTCTATGCTCTTTCTATTTTCATTTATTTACTTATCAATCATGATAAAAGATTTTCATTTTTGTTAAACAAAAGTTGATATTACCATGTATTCCTCATTCTTCTTGACTTAAGAAAATGTTGAAAAAATAATAATAAAAAAATGCCATATCCCATGATGTGCAAAAACAACCAACAATTTGTTTATTTTTTAAAAATGAAGTTTGGGTTTTATATCTATTATAATAAATAAGATATAAGTGAAGTGAATCCAATGAATTTAAATGCATCCATTCTAGGTCTCCCAAATTCAGCACTTAGAAATAGAGCTTTTGCATAATCAACATAGGATCCCACTCCTCCTTTTTCCACATTATTTGTTGATACTTTGTCTTCCACTTTGCCTTGTAATCCTTTAGATGAAAAAAAGAAAAAAAAAACAAAACAAAACAAAAAAACAAACAAACAAACAAAAGAAGGATGTGAATGCCACATCCATTTGGATCATTGTCCCATTTATTCACATTTGGTTGAAAAAGTCAATATACTGTTGACCATAATACCACCCCAAAAAAAAGCCCGTGCAATTAGTGCAGGGGGCCACACCATTATTCAATTCTATTCCATTCTGCTACATTTTGTAGTTATTGTTTGTTGAGAGGAGATGGATTTTACAAGGTTGGAATCTAGTGTGGCTGAAGAAGTTTAGGTTTGTTTGAAAAAAAAACAGGTTTTGTCCTTATAAGATACTAGTGGAAACTCATGCAAGTGGCCACAAAAAATATTTACTGATAATTTCAATTGGGAGCTTTTGAGCTCTACACCTAGTGCTCTTGCAGTGCTATTGTCAGCAATCTGCAACAACAACATGAAGATTTTGATCTCTAATTGATCAAAAGTTGAGTTATTGCTTCACTTTTTGATGAAAACAACGATGAAAACAATGAGATATGCAACCAATTAGAGGTGGTTTTTGTCTCCTCTTGTTTATCCCATTGATTCATCCTTTGAGCTGTTTTATATAAGAGATTTGACCTCGTTCAAACTGTAAATCCTTGTATATATGCAAATGCACATGATAGTGAACTTTTTTATCATCGATTTGCATAGTGTTACCAAAGGTAGATTTTCTTTTTTCGAAGAGGTTCTGATTTCCAACTTCAGCTTTAATGTAAGATTTTGCCACTTTTTTTTGACAACTTGACATTAAAAAAAGCACTGTTAACATGCATGAGAAATTGTTCAGTTATTGGTCATCAAGCCTGCAAAAACGTTCTGTCCCAGCCATCAATAGCTTCTGATCAGCTGGTCTCTTGCCCTATTAATATCTCCACCAAACCAAATTAAGTGTATGTGTGTAAATAAATTAAATATATATATATTTTTAATTATGAACTTATTTCACAACACTGGATATGCAATGCACTGACAAAGAGTTTTAGAAAAGATGCTGAAAGGTGAAAATTGTTCTCACCCATCTAAAGATATGTAGCATATTCCAACGTTTCAAAGCAAAGCTGTATATCTTGTCTTGTGAAACAAAAGTGAATTAATTTCAAATCATGAACATCATAGACAAAGGACACATTTCTATATAAAGAATAATTGTGAAGCGTTGATTCTTTGCTCACCATGAAGTTTCCATGACACTTTTTTATTTGTCGTCAATTTCCTCATCAAACATGACTTCTTGTCCACAACACCAACCCTCAGAAGACAACATCAAACTTCAAAACCAGCAACATTCACTTTCATTTCGTTGTAAAAAAAAATAAAAAAATAAAAATGATTGAACCATACCTATTTGCTACATATCTGTGCAGACACAAAGACAACTACAACCTTCAACTAGAAACCCAGAGTATAATGTATCGGAAACTGTTGTAAACATAGAGAGAACCGGTTAACAAAAGCACAATAGAATTGGGCACACAAGAGACATAGAAGCAAAAGGATTTTGCTACATTCTCTACAGAGAAAAAAAACTGACGAGAGTTGCAAAAGGCTGCTTGCTTGCTACAGAAGGGCAGCAGCAATCATGCAAGGGAGCAAGCACCCTGGAGTGTTGCATTAATGGGAGTGAAACAGCCTCTTACACAGGAATAAGTCATAGCACATGACCCTCTCACTCTTCCCACTCATGAAACCCTATCGGTGTTTCAATTCTCATGGCAACCAGGACACAGCCAGATCAAGGCCTGTGTAACAGCTACTACTGCTACTAACTTACTGGCCACTGGACTCATCCAGCTATTAGTCTAACTTATCGCTTCCAGAGAAAAGCTGCACAAAAACTAGCTCTCTCTCTCTCGCTCGTTAGTTTTAACGAGTTTTTTTAATGATTTTTTTATGGTTTTTTTTTATTACTGAATTGCCGAATCAGCAAGCGACAGGTATTTGCAGTGTGGGTCTGTGAATGAAAGCTGCAGTGGTGGCTGCCGAAGTGGGGCCAGAAGGGGACCGATGAGATGTACCTTCGCATAAACCGAGGTGGGTAAAAATGATAGATAGATAGACAGATAGAATGATAGAGAGAGTGGCATGATCCGAGCTGGAGAGTGTGCAAATGTGTGTCCGGGGGTGGAAGAGGAAAAAACCGAGACCTTTGAGAGACAGTGGGTGAGAGATGATCCGGTGGTTGTGTGAGTGAGTATTGGTTGTTGTACTGATGCCGCGGTGTCGTGAAATATGACGAGCGGAGGAGGGTGCGATGGATGGAGTTGAGCTCGGGGGATTCACGAGGATGAGGACTGTAGAGTGAGTGGAGCTGGGCTGGGATTGGTGGGTGACTCCAGGTGGGCGTGCACAAGAATCATGACCGTGGCGGGAGAGAACTGACGGCTGCCGCTGCAGGTGTGTGACCATGCACAGGGAGTAGTTGCCGCAGTGTTCTGCTGCAAGAGATCATCAAAGGGGGGGATCGTGGGTGGAGCTTAGAGAGACTCGGTGACGCTGCATCTATTGCTGTGGGCAGGCACGACGACGAGGAGGGGTACTGTAACGGAGGGGGGCAGGAGCCATGGCAGTACGTGACCTGGAGTTATTTTGTTTGTGTGGTTTCGTTTGTCGTTGTGATGGGGCTTGTAGGTAGGAATGGTGTGGGGACATGGTGGAGGGGTCGACGAGATCAGGGCTAAGGCTGAAGCTGGAGTCTGAGATCAACAGCCGCTGATGGTAGGTAATGCGATAGCGTAGATAAGATGAGAGGGAAATTTTTTCTTGTTTATTTTATGTCAAAACAAAAATTGCAAATTCGTGACAGTGCGGGAGAGTGAAGACCGCCAGAGGTTTTGATGGAGTTTGACGTCTTGTTGCAGATTCGGTAGCAAATAACAATGAATAGCTCTCAGGGACTGGAGTAGGAGAACCTGCAGAGGGAGGCAAGGATGTTCAATTTTTGAAAGTTACTTGTGTTGTGAATGAGTGAAAGGAAGAGGTCGATGGTCGTTAGGAAACCTTGCTAGCCACTGGCATAGAGAGCGAAAGTGACTGTTGAAGTGAAGGTGACACTTGAAGGTTAAATTCCCAATGTTCATCAGTATGAGAAAGTAAAGTGGAAGCTGGGAATGAGTAGCGGATCAGGAGTTTCAGTTTGAAGGAGAGACTGAAGTGCATCAGCATGAGATTGTAACCTGTGAATATGGTTTTGAAGCTAGTGATGAATAGAGGTCGAGTGCGGGCACCCAATGTGGTTTCCTGAACCTGGCGGGTTGTACGATGGGACTCTTCAGTTATTAGCTCCTTAACAATCAGAAACCAGAAAGTGAAGTGGAGTTTTTATTAGGACGCATTAGCTGTAGGAAAAATCATCGCCAGTTTAGCCGATCCTGGAACTCAGCAATCAGTTGAAGCGTCTCTGCAGAAATGTCGGCAGTGATAGCGGTTTGTGAGAAATTCAGATGCATAAGTGAAAAGTATAAGCAGTAGAAGCATTTCTGCCTCTTCAATGTGCGTGCTCGAAACTTGCGTTGAAATACAGTTTTTCATTGCTGGTTGTCTCTCTTAATTTTCTCACTTCGAAACATGCTAGGTGAGAGTGATGCGACGAAAGGTAAATGACATTGCAGAGAAACAAAGAAGATAGGAGAACGAGGTGTGAAGCATCAGTGCTGCTATGCTCGTTGTGGTGCTGTTTTGTCCTAAGATAGATGTCATTACACAAGGTTTGAGAGGTTTAAGTCATGTGTGAGGACATGGCGATGGTTAGCGGGTTGTTGAGACTCCTCGAAGAAGTTCTCAAATGTGGGTAGTGCTGAGGTTCTTGTTGGCTGGAAGCAAAGCGAGTGTGTATTCCTGGAATGACTTCTTTTCCCATAAACTCATAGACGCTCAGAACTACTTTTTTCTGAAATTTTTAGTACTATGTACAATTGTTCTCATAAATACTTCCAAGAATGTAGATAGACCTCATTTTGGAGATGTGCGATTTTCGACAAGTGATCTAAATTTGTTTCACTGGCCTTTCGTAGTGCTGTTGCGGGAAGATTTTCTTTGAATCTCAGTATTACAGTCCAGCTTGAAAATAATTGACCTTATTCCAGAAGGCTTCATTCAAACTGTGTTGATACTTGTGAAGGTTGATGAATTGCAAATAGGTTTGCCTGAAGAGGGATAGCGAGTTGTCCTTTGCAAGCGGTGAAGGAAGCTACTAAGGAGCAATTTTTTTGTATTGCTACGGCGATATTCAATGCGGAACCCGGTTGCTAATGGCGTGGCTCTTCCTCAGCTAGACGTCACAAACGACGCTGTTGAGGCCAAACCTCAAACCGAAGAGCAAGAGATTTTAGAGAAGTTCTCGCCTTCCAGACAGCATTCCATGAGGTTTGTATTCATTAACTTTCAAAGTCATGAGAAGCCATATTCTAACTCGATCATGCTGAAAATTTTCTGTTCTTTGGTATCATGATGCAAGAAGCAGGTCCCTTCTCTACTACGAGGAATTAGTGACCACTCATCAAGAGGTCCTTGTTTTTTTTTTAAATAAACACTTCGCTATGGAATGAATGCGCCATTGTTGTAAATGAATCACATTGCATTCGCAAATTCGTTTTAGAATGATTCACATACGGGGAAAATCACCGAAGTGCTGATGTTTTCAGTTAGTGGTCGCGTTGTTATATCTATCCTAATCCATATTTAGTCCTTCAGTAAAGATGATTTAGATTGGAGTTGTTGAATGATGTTGGCTATTGTGCTGCGAATAATTGATGAGCATCACCACTAGTTTTCGTATTATCCTTGCTTTGTAGAACATAATGTCTTAATGATAATAAGAATCTTGAACCCCACTTCTTAAAAACGAAAAAAACATGTACCAGCTTCAAAATCTCATTGAACTTGTATTAATTCACTTGAGACCTAGCTCGGTCTCAAGTGCTTATCCTCTGAAAAAAGGTAGAGAAATATTTTCCTCTCTAATTATGTATTTCTTCAGGAGGTCTAGAACATCCGGCGAGCTGGATCGGGACGGGGGAATCCCGGCCCTTCAGCCTTCGCCTCGACTGCAAACGGCAACGTCTCTAAACCCTGTAACACCATTAAGATGGAAATCGTCGAAACGCGTAGAAAGTGAGAGAAAGAAGCTTCAAGACGAAATCAAAACAAAAGAGGTGGTAAAGGAGGAGATTAAGAATTCCAAAAGCTTCAAGGACGTAAGGAAGGAGCAGATTAAAACAACAGCGGCATTAAAACGAGAAGTGAATGGCATGGAAACATCGAATAAAGCTGACTCATCCATCACGTACCACGCGACTTCACAGGAAGCAGACACAAGACCGGTAGTATCTTCAGCCGCTGCAGTATCTGTGGTGCCAACACACGCTATTAAGAATTCTAACAACGGAAACATCAGAGGGGTTATTGGCAGTACAAACTCTGTAGTTCCAGGGAGTCAGCAGGAGACTAATCAAGTCACAGAAAATTCTCAGGGCATAAAATCTTCTCTTGTGGTAACCCCCGGGGGGAGTAATGAACAGGCTAAAGCCAGTGAAGAAGCTTCATCTGTCAATGCGGAGCAAGGAACTGACCGAAGTAATGCAGACGTTCCGGGAACTGACAGGTAACACGCTTCGAAATGGGATTACAATGAAAAACTAACAGGAATGCAATTGGTTCGGATGTACTTTCTGCTTGATCGTACTCGTACCTCACGATTCTATGCACTCAAGATATGCTGATTATCCGTTTCATGTGATTCGAATTTGAGTTGCCACTTTAAAGGGAATATATATATATATATATATATATATATATATATATGTGCTTTTTCTCATGTGCAGAAAGACTCCTACGGGGGAAGAAACATCGGTTATAACGATCGACTTCCTCAGAGCAAGACTTTTAGCAGAGCGTGCTTCGTCTAAAGCTGCGAAGGAACAGATACAGCAGCTGACCAAAAGGGTAATGATCTTGTGTAAACTTCTCTCTGATTGTAAACTACACATTCTCATAGGTTGCCAAATCCCTTATGGTAGTCTGAAATTCAGCCTCCATATGTGCAAGTACCACTATGTATACTGAAATCCTGATGGTTTCTGTTCGATAAACTGTCTCACGTTGCATTGTTACTAATGAAAAGTTACGAATCAAGTTCGTTGAATGGGCAGCAATATTTTATAAGAGTTGATTAATATTTGGGTGTATCCGTTGGTACATTAGGTGCTTGAACTGGAGAGCAAGTTGGATCAAGAAATTGGATTCAGAAAAAAGGCCGAAGAAATAGCGCAGGAAGCTCTTTTGAAGTTGCAACCACCAGGTCAATCATCATCGTATTTATGGCTCATTAAATTCATTTCAAAGAGGTGTCTGAATATCATACTCATCATTGTCATATTCCCGTTGGCAATGGTTGCATCTCGCATCGTTTCCTCGTTGTGTAGTCTTTTGTCCAAAAGAGATAACAGGGGAGCAACCAACTGAGGAGAACTCTGAGTTTCTGAGAGGTGGTACTTGTTTTCCGATGAAATTGCCGGAATCAAATCATGATTCTGAAACAAGCTTCAATGTTCAATTGGCAGAGAAGGATAAACCTAGTACCCTTTCTGAGGAAAAGGAAGCTGAACCGCATGATAAAGAGTTTGCAAATTCTGTTGAAGAAAAGGGTCAAGTTTCTGAGGATCACTTGAATGACGAGAGGACAAAAGCAACCGATAACACTAATTCAAGTGACATACTATCTCCCAATCTGACTGTTAAGGAGGGGAACGAGGTAAAGATTTGTGAAGACATAATTAGTAATATGTCCGAACAGGAGGATGGTGGTATTCAGACACAAAATGTTTCCGAAAAATTCGAGACACAGGAAGCAAAAGAAGACACCCTTTGTGCAGTGCCAGGAGTGACGTCTGCCAGTGGTGACATAGTTTGCCCTGCTAACTCAGAAATTAAACGACAAGAGAACAGGTTACAGCGTTTAAGATTTGGAATTTTGGCTTTATTGTTCGTTTCTAACCCATTCAACAAAATAATGTCATTTTTTTGGTAGATTAGCTTCCGGGGTTCATACTGGCTCAGAAAGACTAGAATTTGATGACATAATTCAGGGTCAGCTAAGAATAGGACAGTTATCTGACAAACACTCATCGATAATAATTAACGTTCGAAGAAATTCAACAACATTTTATTCTGTGTTTTCAACATTTTCGAGTTTTTATTTTCACGTGTGTTTTTCTCATCAGGTTTGAAGTAAAAGAGCGGCTACGCAGCATGTGGGATCAGTTGACAAAAGAAATGGCTGCTCTTGCTGAAGATAATACTGAAAAGGACTTCGTTCAGTTAGAAATTCTGAACTGGATGGGACAAGTCCCAAGTGTATTACAAGATGTTGTTCCAAAACAATCTGGTAAATTCACTACTTTATAATAAAAAGATGTCTAGTTTAGATATGATCCTCTTGCAGGTGCTAATCATTGATTTGATAGTTTCGGTACCACATTTCGCAAGAAAGGAAGTCAGTTGTTCTACACAAGTTGCTAAAATTGTTAATATCTTTTGTTGCAACAATGTACTGCAACATCTTAGCAATGTGCTTGAGGTCCTCTCTCCCAGACTTCGTCTGCTCAAAGGTCATATCATAATCCCTGAATTTTATTCATGGCGTGAAATTGGAGGATTTTGGATTAACTAAAATAAACTTGGCTTTGGCAGAGAATGAGAGATCGGTGACTGAATCAAGCACTGAGAATTCGCAGCCGAATGATGCAGATGTCTCGCCTCCAAGTTCGAATGTTGATCAAATCCAAAGAGAAGGTATTGACCAAAATTTATTATGCCTATCTTGATAAGTGGCAATGTCTGAAGGTCAATGACTTGAAATCTGATCAGTATTCATTTCCATGTTGGGCATTGATGAAATTGTGGCCTAATGGTACAAGATCCGATCGGAGATCGTTCACTGGATGGAGCGCAATGTAGTGGCAAGAGTGCAGCAGAGGACAAAGGATTGAAAAAGGTTGCGTCATTGATTGAGAGATTTGAAGCTCAGGAAAATATCCCGCGAGAATGGGAGCAGAACTATACCAAGCAGCACTCGGTAAGTTCTCATATAGATTTTGATGCAGATGTTGATTGAATTGAATGGTATCATACCGAAACTATGCTGATGAAAGTATATGAATTTTACCACGCAGCGATATCTCACTGCACCAGTAATGGAATCTGTCCTATATCTATGTCTGGCAAAGTTTACAATATAGGATTGTATTGCAGGTTGGTGGGAGGCGAAGCAGAGAAGGCTCCATGAGTCGCACAAATAGCACTCCAGGAACTCCTAATTCAGTTGTGTCTCAACAAGAAAGTCAGCAGGAGCAATCGGGAGATGTACCTTCAAGGACTTTGTCTCAGATTGGAGATCTTAATTATTGTTCCCCCGTTCCGAACTCTCCTATTTCATCCAGCCGAATCATTGGCCCAGAAAATCCGCTTCTTAGAAAAGAAAACGATACAGTGGATACATGCCCTACGGAGAACAATTCCTCTTCCAGTTACTTATATCCTCCAATAGTTGAAGAGACGGCGAGTCGAACAGGTGGAGAAGGAACTGCCGAAAACGGCAATCACGAGACCAAGAACTTGATCCTAGACCACGAAAAATTCGAGGTTGAGAGATCATTGGATCCTTCTTTCATTACACCCCCTCTTCTTAGAACATCGTCAGGATCGAGAGCATGCGAGAACAGAGACATCATGAGTGACGCGGTGAACAGGTCGCAATTTTTGAAACACAGCAATCACTATCAGAATTCAAGTGCTGGTTCGGAAGGAAGATATGACAGCCTTCCAAGCCATTCAGGAAGAAGCAATGCAGAAAGGGGAGAGCCGGCAGGATCACAACCTCTAGTTAGTTGGGTGATGCAGGAGGTGGCTCACTCATCTAATTTGTCAATCAACAAAGGAAAAAGTTCCTCTCAATGGGTAGCACCCAGCATAGGTCTTCATCAACGTGAGAGAATGGTGCCTTATTCACAGGCTGGGAATAGCAATGCATACATAAGACCAGAAGTATCAGGAAATTATCCTCTGCGGAACGATGAGAGAGAAATTTACCGCGGACGAATGGAAAGCGTGTCAAGAAGCATGGAAGGGCTTGGGTTTTCTTGGAGGTCATCGTCAGATCCTGAAGGGGATGACATTCTAACTTATGCAGACATACCGGATTCATTTGAGTCAGGAACCACTCGATCAAGATCAGGCCCACTAATGCCCTTCCAGGTCTTACATCCTTGACGACCTTTAGAACAAGTATCTGCTGACACAACTTATGATCTGTTCTAGAATCACGTTCGTTTTTCACGGTTTGAGTGGATGCATTCCCCTCTCTCTTCACACTGTGTAATGCCCATAATTTTGACAGGTAGATGGAGGCTCAGGACGATTATGCTATAACCAAGGTGAAACCATGATGGTCACTTCTGCAAGCTTTACACATTCTGGTGGGGAAATTTCACGAGAGAATTATCAGACCCGAGCATCAAACAAAATTGAAAGTACCACAAGCAAAGTGAACGAGGTTCTCAAAGCTTTACAGTTAGCAAAGCTCAGTATTCAGAATACTGGGGCTAGGAGATCATCAATTTCTAACTCAAGCGAGCTCAGGTGAGTACAAACTCTCACAGAAGACTCACTTCCGTTCAAACCATGTCTAAGACGGTGAATCTCTGGATCTGCGAATTTCGCGTCGGATTTCATACCGATCCTTTTGATTGTATTTCACCTTTAGCGTTATTTGGTTTTGAAAGCAAAGAATTTAAGAACTGTCAAAAGTTACAATGAGGGTAACTGATTCCAGATCTCCGACATAGGGATGTCTCGAAAGTAGATTGTGAAAAAAGGGTGTACTGTTTCCATCCAAACCTGCAGTAAAATGAAGTTTCAATTTGCACATTTGTCTGAAAAAACTCGGTTGTGTCGTTTAAGCAGTTATCCTGGAGGTGAGAAAAACAACCGGAGGGCAATGTTTGGAGCCAGTGGAGGTGGTGGAACGACCTACGGATCCCCAACTGCACCCCAAGAAATTTCGAGAATGTACTCCACAGACAATTTTCGAGAAGCGGGATCTCCAACCCGCCTCGAACCTGCATGCTCCACACGCACGGTTGCTCTGCTGATGGATTCACGCCGAAAAGACGCTCAAAAGGACCGCTCCTTGGCAGGTCGGTCCAGCCCAGTCTCAAACGCACATAGGAAGTTCGTAAGTAAGTTTTCCATGGGAGGCGGTGTACAGTACGTCTAGCCCAACTAAAAGGCCGCCTTCGTTTTTCCCCAACTTTCCTAGCTCATCGATGAAAACCCACTGCAGGTGGGTGCCCTGGTTATTGCGGTAACATTTAGCCTACACGTCTATATGACAGTTCCTTCTCCAAACAGCATCCTCTCTACTCAGCTGTGCCACCAGTTGATCGTGGAAACGAAAAGGCGCGTTTCCAATCTCGTAAAAATCCGGTCTGGGTTGTGTAGAAAATACCCACAGAGAGTGAGTGATCTGAGCTGTACCGGGGAATTATCTGTAGCTGAGAAATACTAATCGATCATTGAAGACTCGCCTGTGCCTGTCTTGCTGCAGCTGCTTACGTTAATTCCTCGTTGCATGTACGACTCGTGAGCTATTGACCCCCTCTGTCGAGACCTTCAACCAGGAATTGTTGCATGAATCCCACCCTTGTGATGAATGACTGAAACCTCAGACATTCCATCACTCCTCGCCACTTCAATGTTAGTGATAAAGAACAGAATGGCGACATTAGTGATAATCTACAGACTCGGCGTCTGTGTTTCGAAATCTTCTACCAGCAGAGCGATGGCTGCGTCGAGCTTTGCCATCAGACACGCAGTTCCATTCTGCAACCTCTTCGGCACACTGCGAACTATACTTGTCGTCCAAGGAGGCCGCTCGTGTGAACAGAACCTGGGTCATGCAGTTCTAGAAAAATCCCCCTTATCCCCTTCGACCAGACGTGTGAATAGGACCCTGGAATTTGCCGTTCAAACCTAGTCACGATTTGGTATGAATTTAAATTATACTCGTAGTTTGTGTTTTATAAGCCGTTTTTACAAATAAAAACTCTCATATTTCTTAAATCGAACTTACTAAAAATTATTTTAAATTTCTTTCGTTTCTTGTTTGTCCGTAATGGATCTATAAAAACTTCTTTGTATTGATGTAGTATATAGGAGTTTAAGCAAGGTGACCCTTTTTTTTTCTTTTTTTTCTTTTAATTTTTTAATTTTTTAATTTTTTACTCTATTGTTTTCTTCTTCTTTTTTGCATGGGTACATTTCTAATTAGTAGCGATGAGAAAGTAAATAAATTATTAAATAAATTTGGTTAATTTTTTTTGTTTAAATGAAATGGAGTTAAATCGAACAATACTTTTATATAGTGGCTTTTTTATTTTATTTTTCATGCAAACGATTTGTTAAATGTCCTTCGGTTTATGTTTCTTAATTTGATTGGTTCCCTATAAAACAAAAACTTGTTTACAAAAATAGTTTTAACTCTTCTTCATAACCCTCAACCAAATTTTGCCATCTTTTACTTCATAAGCTTTCTTCCTAAACAAAGCTACACCTTCCCATTCTTCATTGACAAGTTTTAATTAATACATCCGCTTACAATTGCAACAATTCCAAAGTTAAAATTCACCCCCAAACAAGATTGATTTCAAAGGACTAAAATTAAGCTACCAGTCCATCTTTCGTACCTAAAACAAATTAAAACGTTTTACACTTATTAATGATCAAAGGTAAAAACATAAAGTTTAGCAATTTCGGTAAGCTATTGGTAATTAAACATCGCAGCAATTGCAAACTAAGGGACAAGAGAAAACCCTCCTGCATACGAATGGTATTGTGGTAGTCTTACGTAATCCATAATTAACATTAATTAAACACCTTTACGGTGAAAGGTAATCGCGATTAGCGACGGAATTTGAAATTCAGAGTGGGAAGGTTTCCGAATGGAGCTGTGGAGGAGGATGTCGTAACCGGAGGCTCTGGTTAAGGTTTTAGAAGTTAGGGTTTCGGTTTTTTTTTAACTACGATTGATTACTGGTGGGTTTTTTTTGTTTTGTTATCGCGTTGGCGGAGGAATGAGTAAGATTCTGATAGAGATGATTTTGCTGCGAGGGGCCCGACGTGAAGAATGAACCGACTTGAATGGGCTGATGTAGTGGTGCATGCAGCTTTGGAGCAAGCGCAGAGAACAGAGCTCTGAAGACTTGCGGAATCGAAATGGTTTGTTTGTGAGGGCATGTTACCAACCGGGAGGCGGGGATAGGGAGGGCTTTGAAGGCGGGAGTGCGCCTCACAGAGTCTACCTTGTACTACTGAATCCTTGGTGTTGTTGAGGAAGGGAAGAATACTCTCAATCTTCAAAGAGGCTCAATATTTTTTTTGATAAAGATGAACCCTGAAGATGGGGTCGTGTTGGCGGACATTGAAGTGGCCGGGCGACTGCTCACTGACTCGATTGCGAGAGATTCCCGGTTCGCTTCCTGTGACCTACAGGACGCGCTTGATGCAGCGCGATTTTCAAGCCATCCCTACTCGACGCCTCCTAAAGAGGTAACTTATGTTTATTCCAGAGGCTTGTGTCGATCAACTGTTGCAGTGCATTTGTTGCTGTGATAATAAACGTCGCGCACGCACTTTTTTTCCTGAGGCAACTGCAACCGGTGTACATCCGTGGTTGCACGCGTGTGCGTGTGGTATGAGTCGAATTTGGCAGCAGTGGAATGAGAAAGTGCTCGAGGGTAAACTAGGGCACTAATCAGAATCTCCGTCGGATAAGTGTTCGATATTTACGGCAGATAAGGTTTCGAAGTCATCCTCTGTGCCCGAACTCGCGCTTGTTCTTGTTGAAAGGCGCAGTGCCATCCTTTCGGAGGACCTCCTGTTGAAAATCCTTTACTTTCTTTTTCTCGAATATTATCAATTTTGATCTTTTGAACGTTCATTTAGAGGAGAAGTGTTCATTTAATATCATTTATTCAAACTTTTAAGTGTAAAGAAACTTTGTTATTATTTAAGAGTTGAGGAATGACCTAAGTGTTTGATCAGCATTTTGAGGATAGTTTCTTTCAGCCTCTTGTCCTGAGTGTATCATGACGTTTTGGTGGTGGGGAGTATTTGTGTCTTGAATTATCTTTGTAAACATCTAAGTGCAAGTGCTAGTGCTGTTTCTAAAGTATCCGCTTCTACTCTGTGCAGTGGCCACCGTTCGTTGATGTCATCAACTCGATGGAACTGCCACCGGTCTTAATTGAGCGGTACAACGCTGCCGGCGGCCAGGGTACAGCCCTTTGTGGTATTTTTCCAGAAATTCGTCGAGCTTGGGCCACTGTAGATGATACTCTTTTCCTCTGGCGATTCGACAAGTGGTGAGAGTGCAAGCGCATTCCATAATCAGATAGCTCAATTTTATTGATAGATGCACCAATCGATCGTGTCCGTGATGTTCTTTAACAATTTAGGTCTATGTTTTGTTCGAAGTTTTTTCTTTAGAAGCTGCCTTAGTAAAAGCCTCATCTTCCGCACAAAGAGCACCTAGACAGAAGGTTACCCAGACCTAACATTGGCGAAACGACAGTTGCTACCTTAGAGAGAAGTATCAAACATTTACGTGTGAACTGAGCGCTTTGTTTATTTGAATAGGGATGGGCAGTGCCCCGAGTACAGTGGAGAGGAGCAGGCAATTTGTGCCGTAGGGTTGGTCAAAGCAAAGCCAGGAGTGTTTATTGAGGCCATTCAACATCTCATTGTGTTGGCCACTCCGGTTGAGGTGAGAACAGTTTCGATATTTGTAATGTGACTTCCGTTGGACAAAATCATGAATTAAATTTTGTTCTAATACCCGAAGGTTCTTACTAGATACGAAAAATAAGTTTCTGTGATTTCTACGCGAGGTCACTATACTAACATCCAGGCTGTTTGCGCAGTTGGTGTTACTTGGAGTCTGTTGTAGTGGGAATAATGTTAGTGGCGATCCATTCATGGAACTTACACTCCAACCTCTACCTCAGTACACAATACCGACAGATGGAGTCACAATGACGTGTATCACACACACTGATTCGGGACGAATTTTTCTTGGAGGTCGGGACGGCCATTTATATGAGCTAATTTACACCACAGGCAATGGCTGGCAAAGCCGGTGCCGCAAGGTGTGCCATACTGGTGGTCTGGGCAACCTTCTGTCTAGGTGCTTTTTCTCTACCCATGAAATTTCAATTACAATCTTCAAGGAATTATTTTAGTACATGCACAAAGTGCACGATCTGCAAACGTGTCAAATTCTCAGCTTGGATATATGCAATTGTTTTCTGTTGGTTTATGCAGGTGGGTTGTACCTAATTCTTTGAGGTTTGGCGCTGTCGATGCCATTGTGGAAGTGGTGGTTGATGAAGAACGACACATCCTCTACACTCGCACTCAGGAGTCTAAACTGCAAATGTTTGACCTTGGGAAAAATGGAGAAGGTGCACCCAAAAAAGTCGCAGAAGAAAGTCGTGTTGGGGAGCAGAGAGATTCACGTGGACGAAGCGGCGGAGCCCGTGCTACAGCACGAGTTACTAAGGCAAATATTATTTCTATTGCTCCAGTATCTAGTGTAGAGTCTAAGTGGCTGCACTTGGTTGCCACTACATCTGATGGGCGCAGAATCTACTTGTCAACCTCTACATCAACTGGTAGCAGTATGACGAGTGGAACTTCTGGTGTGGGAGGTCAGAAGCCTTCAGTTCTTCGAGTTGTGATGACTCGACCAGCCCCCTCTGTTGGTGTTGTAGTAGGCTCTAGTGCGTTTGGTAGTTCTCCTTTAGGTGTTCGTTTGGGTACTCAGACTGAAGGAGGTTTTGTCATCAAGGCTGAAGCTGCTCACTGTTCCAGTGGAGTTTTGGTTCTCTCTGACGCATCACCTCCCACAGTATCTCGCCTGGTCGTAGCCACTCGGGATCTTACTGGTCCAGCTTTACCGTCTTCTGGTAATATTTCCATAGGAGGGCCAGGCTCAGCATCACGCTCAATGCGGTCCTTGCGAGAAATGGTGACGGCACTCACTGTCGAAGGTAGAGCACTTGCTATTGCTGATGTTCTTCCACCTCCAGAGCAAGCTGCGGCAGTGGAGTTCTCAGTCAGTGAACTTGGCGGTGCAGCAGTGAGCAACCAGGTACTTTCATGTAGCAGATTTCGCGATGTATGAGTTGGTATGTATTGGTACTATTGTGCCTTTTACTGCGTGTTCTTGAACAAACTGATTGCTTCTATTGACTCTTTTTTGGAATCGTAGTCTATCTTTTAGTAATCTTCTCAATCACGTAATAAAGCTGTTGGCATTCTTGCGGATCTTCAATTGAGCAGGTAATCGGTGATGAGATGGTTCGTGCTCGGCGATTGTGGGCTCGTGGAGAGCTTGCCACTCAACATGTACTCCCTCGGCGAAGATCCATTATCCTGAGCACAATGGGTTTGATGGAATTAGCATTCAATCGTCCTGTTGATCTTCTTCAGAAGCTTTTTGAATCTAACACTCCTCGTAGTGTGCTGGAAGATTTTTTTCAACGTTATGGAGCTAGTGAGGCAGCGGCCATGTGTTTGCTGCTGGCTGCAAAGCTTACCTCTGATGATGACAATATCATACCTAATGCCATCGCTGATAGAGCAGCTGAGGCATTCGAAGATCCAAGGTTAGTAGGAGTTCCTCAGATGCAAGGAGGAGTTTCAGCTACAAGTGGCCTTTCGTCTGGGGGCGGCTTTAACATGGGTCAAGTGGTGCAAGAAGCTGAGCCTGTTTTCTCTGGAGCTCATGATGGTCTTTGTCTTGCAACAGCACGGTTGTTGCGGTCTGTCTGGGAGCTTCCAGTGATGGATGTGAGGAAAGATGCTGGAGCTGAGAGCAATGGTGATGGAGGCATCATTTCTTGCAGGTGGGTTATTTTTATACTACTTGCTTCAGTACATTCATTTTCTATGGTAAAATTCTATCTATCGAACATGTTCAAGGTGTGAAGATCATACTTTGGAATGACATAGCTGTGGGAAGTTGAAAGAATCTTAAAATTGCTAAAGAAATACCTCATGTTTCTCTTCTATTAGCTGTTTGCTCTTGCCTGTGTACATTCGGTCCGAGTGTAGTGGTGCGTTGTACGTGTCGTGAAATCTCTCTTTACTTGCGGAGAGTTCATGCTTACCTAGATGTCTATGTTTGTCCTTTAGTTAAATGATGTTTTCTTTTAGAATTTGTTGTTTATTTCAGTATTCTGGAAATTTCTGATATATCAAGCGTGCTGCAGATTGCCCGTTGAAGCAATGCAGGCCTTGGAAGACAAAATTCGTTCTCTTGAGCAATTTTTGCGGGCTCGCAGAAATCAAAGGCGGGGACACTACGGTAGAGTCATGGGTCTTGGTGACATGTCTGCTTATGGCGAAAGACATTCCAGTCCATTTGGGGTTGATGGTTTTGCTCGAGGGGAAATACCTTCTAGATCACCTTTGATGATTACCTATGAAACCCCCCAGCCACGAATAGCAAGGGCCATTCTTCCAGGATCTACTCATAAAAGGCAACGTCTGCCCCATAAAGAGCTCAGTCCTGCTGAACTTGCAGCTATGGAGGTTGGTTACTCTCTATTTTACTACATTTGCATTTTCTCTTATATGAACATTATATCTGCTTTCAGGGTTTGTTACGGCGATAGGAATGTGGGGCCTATACTTCCTCAAGTCTATAATACGTCTACTTTTCTTTCGCATTTACCGTAATTATCTTCATTTTTTGAACCTCACAGGTACGAGGTATGGAATGTATACGACGACTGCTAAGAAGGTCAGGTGAGGCACTGAGGCTTCTGCAGCTTCTACAGCAACATCACGTGGCTCGTTTAGCCCACAGTCTAGATCAATCTCAACGCCGACAGCTAGCTCAACTTACTTTTCACCAACTTGTTTGCTCTGGGGATGGAGAACAAATTGCTACTAGACTTGTAGCTGCTCTAATGAAGGTACTTGTAATAGCTAATTTAAATGTTTTTTCAAAGTTTTTTTTTGTATCAATGACATGTTGTGAGTGCTTTCAACTTATGATTCTTGGGTCACACTTTTATCCACCAGTTTCTCACTGATCATTGCTACCCTGTCTTGTATAGTACTATGTGGCACCCGATGGCCGAGGTACAGTTGATGACGTCAGCCGAAAGCTAAGGGATGGATGTCCAAGTTACTACAACGAATCTGACTACCAATTTTACCAAGCTGTTGAAAGTTTGGAGAGAGCAGCAAGCACTTCTGATTCGGAGGAGAGGGATAGATTAGCCAGGGATGCTTTGGACCTCCTTAGCAGAGTTCCTGAGACTGCTGACCTCCTATGTGTCTGCCAGCGCTTCGAAGACATTCGGTATTCTTCTCTCAGAATAAGCTGCTGTTGACGAGTTTTAATATCCTTGGTTTCTTGCGTTGTCCAATAACTTGTACGATTACTGGAATATGGCATTAATATGTGCAAATAAAACTTCTGTGCTCGGCAACTACGGAAAGATATGTCTACTTTCTTTTTTTGTTGGTCTAGCTTCTATTATTTGATTCTGCAGTTCGTCTTTCAGAAAGCTGTTCTTTTTGTTAATCATAGTGCTTCGTGTTCTTGTTACAGCTTCTACGAGGCTGTGGTGGAGCTTCCATTGAGGAAAGCTCGTGCTGTAGACCCATCTGAGGATGCTTTTAACGGAAGCATTGAAGAAGGAAGACGTCAAGCAGCTCTAGCAGCTAGACGACAATGTTACGATGTGGTGACAAATGCACTTCGATCTCTCAAGGGCCAGTCGACTACAGATAGTGGAAACACCAAGATATCTTTCTCTGCCTCTGCTCCTGCAGCTAGATTATTGCTGGATGAAGCAGCAAGAGAAAGTTATATCCGTCAAATTGTTCAACTTAGTGTGCGATGGCCAGACAATGCTTTTCACGAATGTTTGTATCAGACTATGATTGAGTTGGGGCTTACCCAAGAACTTCTGGAACTTGGGGGTCCTGACCTGGTTACATTTCTACAAAATGCCGGAAACTATGAAACTACCAAGGTACTATTTTTTTTTTTTTTAAAGGATACGGTGTTTTTGAAGTGTCAATAGATGCAATGTTGAGGTTAGTATGCACTTGTGTAGGATGTTGCAGGTTCATTGTTACGTACAGTCGCATGTACTTATGTCCGCGGTGTGTTTCTTCTCTTGATGATCTCATCTTGTTGTTGTATGATTCAGGCATGTCACATATCTGCTGGGACATTTAAGTCACCGATGCCTTCTACGACACCAAACATCAGTCGTTTGCGGCAGCCAATTTCAGGGGAGCAGGCCAAGTATTTGGAATTGTTGTCTCGTTTCTATGTTCACAGACGACAGCACACCCTGGCTGCCCATGTGTTGTTGCGGCTTGCAGAACGTCGACAGCCAGAAGGTGCCGCAGAGGTCACACTTGAACAAAGGTAGACTTTCCCTTTGAGCTGTATTCCAAGACAAAATGATTTTCTGTAAATTTGCCATTACTTTATTCTTGTTATTGAAAGCTCGTGTTTATGTAACCCGTTGTTGTTTGTTGTAAAGGTATGAATATCTTAGTAATGCGGTATTGCAAGCTCGGAGTGGAAGCAGAGCTCCTGGTGGTCTCAGTCCAGCTTCAGAGCTTTCCGAGAGTGGTTTGATGGAACTTTTAGAAGGCAAGCTTGCAGTTCTGCGGTTCCAACTGAAAATAAAAGAAGCTTTAGACCGCATAGCCTCTGGAGCTCCAGGTGATCAAGGAGGAAACACACCCATGGAGGAAGATGACTTCCCATTTTCAAAAGCCTTTTCAGGAGTTTTTGCTGATGAAAGTAGAGCTCATTCTGCAAGAGAAAAATCCGAGGAACTCAGTACTGAGTTGAAGAGCATCACACAATTATACAACGACTATGCTGTGCGATTTGAGCTCTGGGAGGTAATTTCATTTTACGTAAATCCATGTTTTTACATTCTTATGTAATGTTCAGTATTTTCCATTTCTGGATTAGTGTATTAATTCTTACTTCTATTCCTCATACATACACGCACAGATTCACATTCTAATGTTCGTGTGTACGTCTTAAATACAAGATCATGGTGATATAAACGGATACCTTAGAAGAATGTCTCATTGCATGGTTAAGCTATGTTGATGTATGCATTGTATTAACTAGAAAAAATCAACTGATGGATGTGTTTATTTTCGAACGGGCAGTCCGAGATCTTTTCTTCTGCCAATATCTTGTGTAGCATGCTCATTTATTTGAAATGAAGTTTGCGCAGTCAGTAACCATCTGTTCTTGCAGATATGTTTGGAAATACTGCACTTTTCAAATTACAGTGGGGATGCTGAGAACAGTGTGATGCGGGAAACATGGACACGTCTCCTCGACCAAGCTTTAGCAACAGGAGGAGTAGGCGAGGCTTGCTCCGTGTTACGTAGAGTAGGCCCTCTGTTGTACCCTGGCGATAGAGGGAGCATGCCTCTTCATACAATTTGCCTTTATCTGGAAACTGCTGCTCATGTACGTTTTTGCTCATTCCTCCTACTCATGTGCGTTTCTTATTTCAGTTGCCGTGTCGCGTGCAAAACAGAATTGGACGTTGTACTAGTGTGTTAATTGTGAATCGACTTAAAACTCACATCGCTGAGGGAATTCATCACCTATATTCACTCAATCTGTTATTTCTGTATGAATTGCTTGTTGCCACTATTTACATATATCACCTCTAGTTTTAAATTGATTTACATTCATTATTATCTGGTACAATTCCCGCAACGTCTAGAAAAATTTCGACGATAGCGAAGTTTTTGTTTTTGTACAATTGGTCTAGATGAAGGAATGGAATTATCAGTCTCGTGTATTGACTTGGGCTTACTATGGTGTAACAGGATAAAGTGAGAACCGGAACAGAAGTAGTGGGAGACGAAGATATTCCCCGTGCGTTGCTAGCAGCCTGTAAAGGTGCCGCTGAGCCCGTACAGCGGAACTATGATCGTGTGTTGGCGAGTGGAGCAATACTGCCGAAACCTTCTTTGCGGCTTCGGATCCTTCGTTCTGTTCTCATTGTTATGCGTGAATGGGCTATGACTCTGCTCTCTACCCGTATGGGTTCTGGTGTCGTTGGAGGTTCTCTTTTGTTTGGAAGTGCTGAACAGGCTCTTAGCAACCAAGGCATGCATGATAAGCTTACAAGTGCAGCGAATAGGTGTGTTTAAACGTGATTTACCTCCCATTTCACTATTTTACATTTGTGCATGGGTTTGTTATGTACAAAATAATGGATGTAAGGGATTATACTTTTACCATATGAATTACTGATAGAGAACAAATTGTAGTACTTCATTTTTTTCCTGCTGTAGCTGAACTGTTTCGATACAAATGTTGATACTGTTTATTCAAATAGTATCTGATGCCTCTTCTGCGAACAGGTATATGACAGAAGTTCGACGCTTAGCGCTGCCACCTGGAGATGTGGAGCCGGTACTGATCGGCTTCAGGGAGCTTGAGGAGATCCTTCAAGGCTAGAGTGATATCAACTCCTGAAATACTTATAGGCTGACTAGTCGATCCTATTTCATTGTACATTCTTTGATATCATGCCATGAAAAATGTGAGCAATCTATCAAGCAGTTGGAATTTGGGTGCAGACATTACCGCTGCATCCGTTAGATAGACTGCAGGAAGACCCACTACATGAGAATCAGTTCAAGTTAGGCTGGGCCTTCTGTTGACCACATACTGATGCGCAATTGCTAGGACTTCAAAAGACTTCTTTGTAAAATTATTTGTGCCATCTCTTGGAGTTGTTCCCGTGTTATGAACCTTTTTCATAATTCATCCTCTAACCTCCGTCTTTCATATCTGTAGGAAACTTCCTTGTTACCATGACATGGGATTTAATATGCACTTGTCAACTAATAAACTTGATTCGTTTTCACCTTCTCTGAAATGCCTCAAATAGATGCTACAGAGGAGTCGCATCTCATTCTACAAATTGGAATCTGACGACAGTCGTGAATGAGTATCTTCTACGATACAAATCGACTTTAGAATATTTGAGATTGACGTTGGGTTGTAAACGTACCGTAGATAGACCCTCTCCAGACAAGTTTCAGGAACTTAATCCCAGCCCTCGTCACCTATTAATATGCAGGCATGACCAGGTCATGAATGCCAAAAACGAAAAGACACGGTCAGGAGAGGACTCGCAGGAGAGCAACCGTCGTATATCCATATTTAGCAATTCTGCGAGCTTCGAAGCAATCAGGTAATCATCCACTGTGTAAAGAGCACTGTTCTCCAGGCCCACTCTAGGCTTCATAGGTGCACAGTTGCGCATATGTCCAAACTACTGACCTTCATTAAGAGACGTGGTCTAGCCTATATGTTTTCTCCTGCAGAGGTCCAAGCACATTTCAGGATGCAGTTCTTTTTTGTTTTTTCGCAAAGCAGCCAGGATAAGTTTTCAAAAGTAGGAGTGTTCGTATAGATACTTCCCCCTTTTTTTTGAGGGTAGCGGGACCCAGTAAAACAGGCAATGGTGCAATTAGAATAGTCGCAATTCCCAATACCCAACATGGGAGCCTCACATTTATGCAACTGTTCTCAAACAATGTGCCAGGTTTTCAACGAGACTTGATTAAAAATATCATTAACACTTTGGATTACCACTGAACTTTATACGCATTTTGCAACCTTTTGACGTCCACGCAAAATTCTTGTTTATTGGAATTGTTATTATTGTCAAGTGTTCTTCAGAGTGACTGTTACTAGTGTGAAAGATACAAGATGACAGATTTATCGGAGTCGATATTTGTGTGTAAAAGGTTAAAATATCAGTAACAAAGTTAAAACTGTCTTAAAATGTAACTGAACGGGCAAATGGCTGAAGGATGGATAAGCAAGCATCAGGGGAAATATTGGAAATCTAAAAATTACCTCAATCTCACCTCTATCCATATGACAAGAGTAAATGCTTATGTTACTTAACACATTCTAACTCATAGATTCTAAAGTGACCTAAAACTATACTTCCAAAACTACTGTCTTGCTTATTTGAAAAGCCACAGATTCAAAAAGCTTAGCACCGGCTGCAAAACTATTTCACCTTTTTTTTTTTTTTTTTTTTTTTTTTTTTCCCTCCTTGTCTGGTTTAGCCTCAATTAACGAGAGACCCCCAAGCATTGGCATCTACAAACAAGGCATAGTGCCCAAGGTCAAAACAGGTACATAATGCAAGGAATTAGGGTTTCTTACAAAACCACACCAGCATGGGAAATTGCTGTTCCGTATTGTGAAACCCAAGCTTGTAGAAGAAACTGCTGGGTATATGCTACTTTCAAGCTCCTTAAGCTTAACTACCAAGGAGGGCTTATAAAAAAGTTAACGGCTCTATGCCAAGGGCATTTTACCTAATACAACCCTTGCAACGTGGCTATTCACAGCACGGTGCTTAAAGCTTAATTTACACTAAGCACGATTAGTTTACAGTTGGGTCTTTATAGTGGACGAATGAGAATCGTCGATGAATCCTGGAGGAGTGGATGGAAACGTGCCATTAATGGTCCTTTGACCGCGGCAACGTGCCGGAGAAAATCATCGTCATCCCCCAGCCGCTCTTTCGTTCGTTCGTTGGCCTCGGTCACCCAATCCGACGGAAAATCAGGAATCGTCCAGAGAGTGCGGGATTTCGTTGAGTAAGTGACGACGTTCGTTGAGGCCGGTGGCCGGCGAATGCCATGATCGGCTGGCGGGCCTGATCTTGGTTTTGCTTTGCAGGAGTGCCGGTGGATCTCGATGTGTTGCGGCCTTTCTTCGCAATTTTCTATTGTGATTGCGGCTGTGGATTCTCGCGTGTGCGTACTTGAGGCTGCGAGGGTTGCAGTGAGGCCCCCGGATTTGATGCTCCAGTTGCATGCGTTGAGACAATTTTATGAGGACAACGGAACGCTGTCGTTGTGTCTAATGCGGTGGGAGCTGAAGCTCAGCGTGGTGCGTTTTCAGCTCGTTGTAGAGTTTAGTGTGGGGATTACGCAATCTCTCCTTGATTAGGAACGTCCCTGGAAGTGTTAAGAGTTGCTCTGAAGGCTTCGCTTCGCTTTCGTGTGTTTCGAGATTCTTGGAAGCTGGATTGCGTGAATGAGCCATTTTGTCCCTGAATCTGCTTCTGTGGTTTAGTTTCGTGACGAAGATGGCGTAGAAGGTCGGGGTATCTCGACACTCTGTTTCCAGTTAGCTATGTCCAAATCCTTGACCCCTTGAAATCGAAGATTTAAGTGATGGCGGGTTTTGCTGTCTGTATTTATTTATATTTGTGTATTGATTTTCGATTTCGATGGTCTTTCTTTTTCTTCTTGCTTGGCGAGTTTAGTAGCTCACTATAGGAGCGCTGGTCTACTTTCCGCCCCTGGTGATGTTAATCAGCATTGTCAAGCTGAGTAGTGTGCGCGTTCTGCGGGTATTCTGTTGATTGAGCTTGCAACAGTATGGGGATTATTTGGTAGTCTATCATGTTTTGAGCATAATCGAACATCTGTGAGCCACTTTTGTTGATGTTTCAGTGTGCTTAATCCTTTTGAAAGATACAGTCATTCTAGGTACCCATCTTCCATTCATTCATGATTTTATCTCGAGTTTAAATTCTCGGTCTCGTAGATGCATGTTAATCACGGGTTTAGCACGAAATTTCTTGACCGTCACTGAAACGAAAGTGGGACTGTTTGATTGTTTGACATCTTGCTCGATGAGCTGCAAATTCACCTCTACTTTGTAAGTTTTTCTCTACGTAATTCCTTTAAGCCTCCCAAATGAATGCAGTGGTTACAAGGAAATCTCAGAGCGTCCTTTTTCTTGATTATCCTGAACTTTGACTTTTTTTTATTGATGAAGAGATTGTAAGGATCAGCAAATCCAGATTAGAGGTTACACTAGTGCCAGAATCACCCCTCTGACGCATTATTGTTGCTTCACTTGGTTAAGTTACGATAACATAACATATTGATTATCAGCTAGAACTAAGAGTCGCTCATGTCCATTATTTTCGTGGTGGGTTTCTGCAAGACCCTTGGATCATTAATGCGGCATTACACTGTTGCCATCCAAGTGATCATTCTGTTAGATTATCTCGAGCTACTGATCGCTTACAGGTGTTGAATGCTGATAAATACCTGACTGCTTTCGAGTTGTAGATTTAATTTTTTACTTCACGAAATTGGGTTGGCGTTATTGAAGCCTTTGAACTCTTTTAGCAGTATATACTGCTACGTCAATGATGTATTCCTGTGAGCTCGTCGTTAAGTGTTGTGTTATGTTCCGACTCCTTTGACCATGTAGATTATGTCTGAACACTCTTGTTTCATCGGCTTCTCAAATTAGGCCCGCATGAAGTGAAGTTAAGTTGGACATTTGTGAACATGTTATTTCCTTGGACGGAGACGCTTGAGGATCTTCAGTGTGTCGACCACACCAGCGTCTGTCTCTATAGACATGTCGCACTACTTTTAAATTTCGTCAGTATTGTTGATGATACTTGTTTTCTGAATAAGGCAATCATCAGGATGCCCGTACAGAGCACGCATAAAACTTGGACTCAATCTATCAGCATCTGTGGGGGATACTGTTGGTCAACGGCGTAAAAATGTAGCACCTTGTTCATTGATTTCTTGATGAAAGCATATTCTGATTTTGATTTCATGCAGATTTGTGCTACTCAACCTTCCCATTCGATCGCGCTGGAGCTGAGCAAGGAGGGTCACTATCTATCATTCTAGGATCTTCATCTCCGCTTGAGTCATGGACGATGTGTATCTTAAAGATGAAAAACCAGTCAGTAACACTGTCTCTTTTGTCAAGGGGATTAATGCTCTGGCTGTGGTAAGTAGCTCTGTTCACTATGCTTGGATGAAGTTTAATTTCATGAATAGGGTTTAGGAGCAGTACTATCGTGTTTAGCGCTCTATTGTCTTGATTATTCTCTGCATTTCGTATAAACTGTGCGAATCGACGTGTATGAACTTAGTAGACTATATACCCTATCCAACATTGGTTCAATGTGACTTGCAACCTCAGCGAGAAAAAAATGTAATTTAGAATGGTGCCATTTATCATGTCCCAAAGAGGAAGGCGATGTTTTGAGATTTTGTTCGCTAGGCAATTGTTGTACCATTCAACTGCACATGGGTCGAGATTGATGTGAAAAAGCAAAGTATCGTGAATGTTTTCAACCTCCTGAACGCTTGCGAGTGAATTGCAGTTGCTTGCGATAGCCCTTCTATCACTAGGTATATGGCTAGCAACGAGGCCTGGCGATTGTGAGAAGTACGCGACGGTACCAGTATTTCTTGCTGGCGCTTTCTTTTTACTTGTGTAAGTTTTTCGTGAAGAAAATATTATGATACCCTGTCGTGTACCATTCTGTTTTATTCTTTCTTATTTTTGTATGTAGAAGTGATTTTTTTATGTTAATCAATGTCCAATTTCAGATTTTATTTATTATAATATACTTCTGTTTCCGTCTGGTGCCTACTTTATTGCGCTTTTGCTATGCGTACATTGGGAGTTGTTGTGTCATGTGTTTCTGATGTGGTTAGGTGATCTTGCATGTGCAGAGCGGTGCTGGGTCTTTTCGGCTCCTGGTTTGCAATTATACCTATCTTGTATACCGTATCCTTCTTGATCGTGGGCAAGATTGATACTCGAGCTTTGAGAAATTTAGTCATAGTTCATTGGATATTTACACTATTTAACTTTTTATTTTTATTTTTTCAGATGGGATTTCAGTGCTGAGTGAGATTCCGTGTGATGTTAGTGGGGAGTGTTGGCTTGATGTTTCCTTGACCAAATTGATACAGTATCTGGTGTTGACGTTTGCGACGCTTATCGGGTTTCTAATTTTGACAATATTCATGTGAGTTGGTGTTCATCTTTGGGGATCATTAGACTGCTTTTGGATGTCCTGTAGGAGCCTAAGCATCAGAAAGCATGTAGACATTGAACATTTCCGTAACTTGGATTAGTATCCGAAGTTAATGAATATTATTTTGTGTACAGACTTTGTTTGTCTTGGGTACGAATGGTACCCATAGCCCCTGTAGCACGAGGACATTATTTTTCGTCTTTTTCTGGAAGGATTTACTAAGTTTTGTTGTACCAGAGTCATAAGTACGCAGTGATGTCTTTGTGGTCAGATAGCATCTGTATGATTTTGTACTTTGGTGCTTCAGATTTGCTGTAACGAGCAAAGGAGGTGGCTATGCAGTTGCTGGTCAAACGTAAGTGCTCATTCCTCATCGAATCTGACATTGTTTACTCAATGCAAACAGCTCATTTGTGATGTCACCTAAGGAAAATAAATGATCAGCTCGGCATTGGAATTGTCCATTTATTCTGTCACGAACCGATCCGGGATTCTGCTCATCTTGCTTAGCATTTCCCAGTTTTCAGTTTCTATGATTGATGACTTTCTGAATTTTTTGCTGCGTACATGGTCATGTATTTTTGTGTTTCACAGCTTTCAAGAGTATAAAGTGAGCGATTACTCAAACTACGTTCAAGATAGGGTAAGTCTTTGATCAGTACGCCTTATGTTTACCATAGAGTTTTCACTAGGAGCTTATTGTGTAATTTGTGCAAGCTTTTCAAACGATTCTAAATCTTCTGGAAAATCTGCAATCCTAGAATCTCTTGTTTTCAAATACTCGGTGCCGGCCATTTCCTTGAGTGTTCAGTACTCGTGTTTCGAGTTTGGCATAAAAAGAACTTGTAGGTATATTTCTCTGAAAATATAGACCATCTTTGGTGCCATGTTTGTTATTTACCCATGCCTTTGAACGAGCTGTTCATGATTTGCAGCTTAACAGGGTTTCAAACTGGAATCACATCAAGGCTGTCATTGCTGCAAGCGACAGCTGTGCAAAATTTGATCAAATCTCGGTATGTTCTTTGTACTCTTTGTAGTAGCCACATCATGTCTATGTTAATTAAGTTGAAAATGAAGATGTACGACAGGCTGAAGGTAAGCTTGTCTCCTTAATCATCGACCCTACTGTTTCTCCATGGTTTTTCGAGAGGTTTGTTCCGAAACCCCTTAAACTTTGAATGCGAGGGATTTGAAGTTGCAACCGATCTGAAAGTTTTGCAGAGAGGAATTCAGAGAGGAACAGTTTGTAAGAATACGATTCATAGTTATTAATTTTCTGAAGCGATATTGTTTTATGGTTGCAGCCTGTAGATTATCCTTACTCGAACTTGGATCCGATACAATCTGGTTGCTGTCGACCTCCTGCAGAGTAAGAATTTACTCAACCTGTTCGATGCTCTTTTTTCTCTCTTTGAAAATGTCATGGTGCTTGACGACCAGTTAAGTTTTTAGACTTTTTTCAACAACGCATTGCATCTGTTTGGTCTTTCACCATGTGATTTATATTCTTGATTTAAACTCAGATGTGGATACGCCATGTCTGGTCGTGGTACTTTCACTACAACGTCAGTGCCTTTGTCTGCTAATCCGGATTGTCAAAGATACTCGAACGATGCGTCGATAAAATGTTACGACTGTGATTCTTGCAAGTAAGTTTCTAGCTAAACATGAGACTAGTGCTGGAAGCTTATAACAGGGGATTGTCTGTTATTTTGTGTGCAAAATATGCAGTTGTCTCATTACTTGTGCGCGATGTCATTTCATTTTCACAAGTTGGTCAGGGTTGCCTGCTTTATTTTAAGGATATCTTGTTTATTTGAACTTATCTCGAATGATTTGGGATCCAGGGGTGGAGTGGCGCAAGATTTAAAGAAAACTGGGCGAGTTGCAGGCATTATTACTCTTGTCATTTTTTTCGCTTTGGTAAGAATTTGATTGAACGAATTCTTCTGGTTTCCTCTGAAATGCAGCCGAAAGCATGCAAATGCGTAGTTGATGACCTTATGTTCGTGCTTACATGACCTGCTATGTTTTAAAGAACTATTCAGTTGGATCGTGGCTTCAAATTTGTGGAAATAAGATGATTGTATGTCTTGGTTCACTTTGATATTGGAGGAACTACTTCGAGTGGTGAACGCAATGAGGTTTCTTCTTATCAATTATTCTGATTCATCCACCATGTTATTGCGCAGGTTGCGATTTTGGTAGTGGCTTGTTCCGTGGGACATCGATTTGCACGGGAAAATTTTCATAGAGTATAACATTTGGAGAACTCATGTGCTCATCACCTGAAAATTTTAACATATGCACAAAAAGTGACCTTGTATTTGTCTTACGTCTGAGCTTATTTGTGCTTACTAAATCTAGGAACGAGTTCTGTCAAGTTTTTGAAGTCAGATCATCGTCTACATCTTCAAGACTATTTCTGGTGTAACCTACAATTGGCTCCTAGTCGCAATGTGGTTGGCATGGCTGGTCCAGTCAAATGTAGACGTTGAAGTTCTAGCTCGACAAAATTAGTTTTCAGTTGATTTAAGAGAGCTTTCCCAGTTCATATATCGTAGTGAGGTAATTGTTGGATTTAAATGTTCTCAAGGGGCATGAGTGATCTTCCCCATCCTGTACAATGCAACCGGATTACAGAATACACGAACCGTTTTTGTGATTTTGCATTACCTTGTGCTGCAACATGTTTTTGCAGAATGGGTGGGAACCAAATTGCAATGAACCTCCCTGGCTTGAACTGAAAACTGCACTGTATTTGAGAGTTTTCAAAAGCATCCGGAGTTTGTATGGGACTACGTATGTTACTGTTAGAGAAACTGGTTTTATGTTTTAAATTTTAATTTGCAAGAAATAAAAATGGTAGATCTCACAAATTGCCATTGCCATTTAAGGCTCATGAATGTCAGTGATATCTTGTGTACCATGGACAAAGATCCGAGTCACCAAATTGTTGGGCGTTACACATAGGGTTTAATGTTATATACATATAATTAGTTCTAGGCGGCTCAAAGGTGGGTATCTTCTCAAGTAGTTAATGAAGACCAAAATTACATTCTTGATTATAATAACCACAGAGTAACTCGATGCTCACTTGCATCAAAACTTGCCAGTTCATAATAATTTATATAATTATCCGTCAATACAGTTTTCATCCCAGGGTATAGATTCTTGGGTAAGTGGGGGCATTCTCGTTAACTTCATGATCAAGAATCATGCCTTTGCATGGGAATTAATTATCCCTTTCCATCAAAATCATTCAGAGAATTGACTTGCATCGCTTTACCTTGCAAGTTCCTCAACATAACACAGGTTGAAAATTCACTTGAAGAGTTGGAAGTAAGAAGGTTAACAAGAAATACCAATTTCCTACAGTAAGAGGTATTAGGCAAGGATACCCACTAATTACTTGATCATTCATTACTGTTGGGGAAATGATTAACATAGCAATCTGAGAAGCTACGTCTCTCAATAAACAAACAATTCTACTTTCATAGTTAAAAACAAAGAATTTGCTAATATTTTAAGAATGGACATATGTCTATGCTCATTTTTTCTATTATCTTGTAGATTATATGCTATTGTTAAAACAATTTAATTTCTATTCTATCAAAGAATTCTAATGCCTCTTTTGTATCCAATTTACTCTTATATACAATGATTTTTTAAATACAACCATAGTAACAAATAAAGTCTTCTATAAAAAATCAACATACAATTATAGAATTCTTTGTTTTTAATATTCATCCTTCAATCATACTTGATAAATCTTCTTGTGCAAATACCAAATACTTCATTTGCTCTAGCTCTATAGACATTGTCACTTGATCTACCATTATTTCAAATATATATACTTACCTAGATTAAAAGAGTTAAATAGAAGTAATTAGAAATAAGTAAATTTGATAATATCTTATGGAAAAGCTTCTTAATAGCTTTATAGACATAGATTTGACTTTATATGTATTTATAGGTGATTGATAGGTTGAAAACTTGACCAACAAATTGGTTGGGTATTCCACATGTTGATAACTTGTGGTATAAATTGACCTTATGGAAAACATATAGGAAACTTGACTTATAAGTTAGACATTTGTCTTATAAGTTAGACAAGTGTTGGAAATTTCATAGAACGTCACCATGTAACTTTTAGTTATATAATATATATGGAAAGAAGAGTAGGGCCTTTTTTATTCTTATCTATGTCTTTCTTGTTTTTAGTCTTGTTTCAAGAGTCTTTAGATTTTTTTATCTTTGATAATAGTCATTCCATTTTTAATACTATACTACCATCGAATAAATATCTGTTATTTTTAAGTGACATAAGAATGTATTAAAGTTTTGATTTTTTGTATTTTATGTACTTGAAAATTTGATAAGAAAGCTGAATTACTATTCTTATTTTGTTTTAGAAGTGAGTGAATTATTCTACTTCTTTTATTAATCTTTTATTGATATAATATTAATAATATTAATATAAGGTATCTATGATATATTTTCTAAAAAAGGAATATTGACATAAATTAGTAATATATTAATATAAATTGAATAAAGATGCATAAAATATAGTTAGCAAAAAAAAATAAAAAAAATAAAAAAAATCTTTTCTTGTGTGTGTATATATATATATATATATATATATATCTGCCTACAAACACATCCCAAGTTGCTATATACACATCCAAGGCTTTTGATTGGCTCATTCAATTTTTTTTTCTTATTTCAATTGGAATCTTGATACTATTCTTTCTTCCCATTGCCTTGATATAAGTCTTAGCTCCTCCCTCTCTTCATTCTCTTAATATAAATCCTGCCTCTTTTTCTTGTCCTAGCGAGGAACTTAGTTCTATTTATTTTCTTCATTATCCCAATGTAGGTCTTAGTCTTCTTCTTTACCAAAGATTGAAAAAAAGAAGATTCCTTGTTTTTGAGAATGTTTCCTTGCTTTGCTTTAAAATAATTAATATTTCACCTTGATGATGTTGCAGATGTTATGGCACCTATTATGATAGATTACTTGCATGTCTCTTTTATTTCCTTCATCTAAACTAGTATCTAACTGAACAAGCTCTCTTCTCATACAAAGGATTGCTAACAAATCATGTCTTAACCTTCTAACCTAACTTTCTATGTCAAATATAATTAAACATCCTTCATTATTTCTACAAACACATTAAGAAGCAATGAATTCTAAATCTTATTGTTTTTGATTATAATAAAGGCATATTTCACAATATGGTCTTTATTCTCAGATATGGTAGCTTTGAGGTCCTACCAAAGATATCTAAATTCTAAATCCTTTTCCATCTTGCTTAAATATACATGGTTGTTGCTATATATTATTCTAATATAAACTTCTCCAACAAACAAAGATGATCTATAGGATGTGATTTAACATGCTTTTCAGAGTTATTGAACACCAAGTCACATTGTATATACCTATGTATAGTAGCTAAGGATTTCTTTGATAATGAAGGTCCATACAACTCACTTCAAAAGTTACTTGCTTAGTTTATAAGTACATATTATTTTTATATATTTTATGCTTGACGTGGCTAAGCTATTGACAAACAAATCTTCATTTATATTCTTATAATGTATTAATGTAGTGGGACTTTCAAATATCCTAAATTGAGGCATGAATAGACAATTGTAATTTCAAAGAAATCTGTTGCATATATTCAAAACCATATGTGGGTAGTCCATAACTAAATATTTTACAATACTCAAGAGACATCAAAGCTATGTGAACTTCTGCATCTTGTCTAATTTTGATCTAATAATGCAACTTCTTCTTCATTGCCTTTGGCTTGTTATAGGAAAAAAATGGAAGACTTGCACTTGGATAAAGAAAAAAAGGTGGAAACTATGATTCATGCTAGAACAAAATAAAGAGGATTGGCACCAAGATCCATACTAAGACAAAGAAGAGAGGCATAACTTATATTTGAAAAATAGAAAAAAAAGAAGAGTCTACAATCTATGTGAAGATAATAAAAAACAAGATAATTAGAGCTTAAGTTAGGACAAAAAAAAATAAAAAAAAATAAAAAAAATAATTTGGATGAATCATTCAAAAGACTTGAATGTGTATATAGACATAATAAGTGTATATAATAACTTGGAATGTGATTTTAGCTTAAGCATATATATATATATATATATATATATATATATATATATATCTATATTTTCTAAAAAATTTATCAATGATAATTTGACTATCTTTTAGAATACATTTTTTTATTACTATGGAGTACAAAATATATATGATACAAAAAAATATTAAAAAATGTATTAATTTAAAAATATAACCTATCAAAATTTCTTAATAACTTTTTAGGAATCTTAATAGCAATCTTATTAGCCAATTAATGATATTTTTTTTGATTGTCATTGAAACATAATCAATTAAATAGAATATAATTTTTTAAATATATTTTTTATTCAATACAAATTTAAAAATCTAAGTGAATAAAAAATCAAATATGAAGAATTAAAATGACATTTAGATCTTATTGATTATATTACATTGAAAGACTAAGTCATCTTATTTAAAATAATTAAAAAACTACAAACAAAGCAAACATATTTTAATACTATACAAACTACTCAAGTAAAAAGTATGATCGTGTAACTAAAATTGAATTATATATATTATAATATTCCAATAATATATATTTGATAGAATATAAATTTACTAGAAGACTTAAAACTCTTGAATAGTTTTAAAAATTAAAACTCTTGAATAGTTTTAAAAATTAAAACTCTTGAATAGTTTTAAAAATTAAAACTCTTGAATAGTTTTAAAAATTAAAACTCTTGAATAGTTCCAAAAATAAAACCAATGTTGAAGATGGTTATAAGTTGGAGAGCCTAATAGAATAGAAGAGTGATTCTATCAAACATCTCTAAGTCCTGACATAAAATTACACTTAGAGCTTTGTAATAGATGGTACTATCTAAGCTAAGGTTTTATAGAAAGTTGTAATAGAATCTATAATAATAGGAGAACTAAAGATTCTCAACCTCTAAATACAAGCAAATACACTCATAATGAAACTATAAGTGGGAGGCTTGAAACCATGCTTTAAAATATGGAAACTATTTATTTTCTACATGACAAAATACAAATGGATCACTAGTTTAGAATGTTGGTTAGTTGACCACCACTTGATAATGTATACTTGCAAAGCATTGCTAGATATAATACCACTTTAGAAGGCCATAATAAGATCTTGGATCAAAACAAGAAGTAGCCTTATGTAAATTCTACCAACAACTCTCATAGAAAAACTAAAGCAACTATTCTTTGGCAATGTGATAATAATACAATGAGCATCTTGGATTACAACGTCACTCCATATTTACAACATGGGATATAAATAAAATATTTGATATAAAAGATATTTGATATAAAAGATATTTGATAGAAAGATATACAAGACTAAAAATCATTAAAATAATTAACATGTAATAAATTTAAATCTATGAATATACAATAGTTAATAATTCTTAATTGCATCACAAATTATAATTTCACTTGAGACTTCATACCATAACTAGCAAAATGGATAATCACACAATTGTAGGATCCATTCAATCTTGTACATAATCTATAGTGGCAAAATGGTAGATTTTGATAGACAATAGAGCGGAGCTCATAACACAATATGCCAAATTGACTCAAATCTTGATAGAACCAATGGAACAAGTTTAAGTTATTATTAACGATATTGATAGGTATAGTTCTATAATCATATCACTTTAAGACTTTAAAGTTTGGCTCTTTAAAATAACTCCAATCATAGATCTTATATAAGATTGATAAGATTGAGACTTGAAAAAAGTTAGCACTCTTTAACAATTTGTTTTTTTAGCTATACTACTAAACATGAGTATAAGATAGGTTTAACAGAAGAACCCAACATGATGCTAGAAGTTACACAATTCCTACTATATAGGTATAAAAACTAACAAATCAAACATGTTATCCTATGGATGTAGCATATATAGCTACTTCAAAAAAATTTGGCCATGATCTAGCTTATGCTAGTAAAAAGGCTTCTCATTTATAAGTAGTAAAGTAAGATTGGATAAAAAAGTAACTACAAACTATATTTATATATAAAAATAAAAACTACAATTGATGCCTATAGATAGTAGAAGCTTAAATACATCTTCAAGTTCTTTGCAAATCTGTACATCCAAGCAGAGGGGTAATCCATACTCTAACAAAGAAGAAACTAGCTCTGATATCTGAGGTGAATGAAGTCTCGACAAACTGTGACGGACACAAAATACAGACTTGATATCTACCAAGAAGTTCAAGAAGAACTGGCAAGAACTAGATTAATCAGATGAATACAAAAACAACACCAGAGAGGTGAGCTAGAGCTCCAAGAGATGTGTTGTCGAGACTGAAGAACTCTTCAGCCTCGATTCCAATATATACTCCTATTTAGGAAGCTTCTCAAACAACTTCTACCAACTAGGAAGCTTCTAGAAGGTTCCAGAGACTTGCTTTTAGAAGGTTCTAGAAACTTATCTCTAGAAGGTTCTAAGAAATATGTCCCTAACATCTTCTACCAACTAAGAAGCTTCTAGAAGGTTCCAGAGACTTGCTTCTAGAAGGTTCTAGAAGCTTGTCTCTAGAAGGTTCTAGAAATTTGTCTCTAGAAGGTTCTAGAAACTTGTCTCTAGAAGGTTCTAAGGACTATGTCCCTAAAAATAATCCTCATAGAACAAAGCAAGTAATACCAAAATTTTACACAATATGATATAGAATATACTACAAAGCAACATGATATGGAACATTTGGATAGTTAAATGCATGCAAGAATTGAATCAAGATAGATTCAATCTTGAATAAATCTTATATTAAGCTTGAAAATCAACCATTCAAATTAGCATGTAAGTTTGAAAAAATCTTTTGATATAAACAAAGTCTAAAAAAATCATTAATCCTAATTAATAAGTTTATGAAAATTTGGACTACCAACAACATCTTTGCTTTGTAAAAAAATGAATCCAAGTAAAAACTAATTCCATGTAAGGTATTTCTTCTACAACACTTGATAACATATAATCCACCTATGCCATAACTATATCTAGTATAAACATAATAAGATATAGAGACATCCATCACTCACAAAAAAATAATTCATATACAATAGATATCACAGCCTCCTAATCAATCAACCTTAATAGGAATATTTAGGTACTATTTAAAGAAATATAACTAAAGCTTAAGAAACAATAGCTTGCAGAATAGAAAATTTAAGATCAACAAATTCTAAATAGTCTTATGTTAAAGAACTTTTAAGAAATTTATATTTAAATAGTTATATCTCTTTATATAAAAAAAGATGAGAATAGGATGTTATTGCCAATAACAACTCTCATAACTAATCTAAATCTTATTGAGTACTAGTAATTAAGTTTGCATTTGAATTTATCAATTAAAAACTTATAAATATTTAATGTTCTTATTGATAAACCAAATGATCTATCTAAGATTGTTTTAGATTGTTAGAAGACACTTATGTCCATTCAAATTTTTTAGTTTATGTAAGACTTATTATATTCTTGTATTACTAATATGTAGCCAATTTAGACCAATTTATTTTTAAATCAAAAGCTCGACTGAACTCTTAAATAATCTTAATTAAGATGAATATATCAAAATCTTTTCTATTAATTATAAAAATAGAATTATTTGCATATTGAGAGATGAAGCTTCTTAAATTATCATATTAGTTATTTCATCAACAATAATAAACACGCAAGTAGCTAGTATCTAATAGGCATCTATGCCTAATACTTCTTTTTATGTGAAATTAATGTGTCTTGATTTGACATGTTAACCTTCTTACTTCCAACTCTTTAAGTGGATTTTCAACTTCTGTCCATCTATCTATTTGTTTTGAGAGATTTTCCACCATTTTATCCTTATTATGTAGATTGCATATTTGAACAGTATGGATTCAATGAGATAAATTTATTTTTAAATCTAAGGTATGAACCTACCATTATGCTATAAAAATTATTTTAATGAGACTAATTGAATATAGACAAATAAACTATGCAATGGATATATCATGAATCAATTAGTACAAGAGCATAGATGTTCTTTTATCACCAAAAAATATAGATCCTCTTTCTTCCATCAATGCTACTACATTAAGGGGCAACAAAGGAAGCAATGAAGACAAAGCAAAAACAAACAAAATTAACCAAAACAAATACTATGATGCTTCTGTGATATTCCAATAAAGCTATTTTGACTTATTATATAACATAACTATTTGGTCTTTCTTACACAATTTATTCATGAAAGATTGGAAAATTAATAATAATAATTAATAATAATCAGTTTGGTATCACAAAAGTACATCATGCGTCATTAACTATCCACAATTGAATTTAATAAAAGTTACCCATTTTTCTATACAACAAATTATATGCACCAACCGTAGCCAAATTCTATGCCAACTGCGATTTGATGTTTTAATCTTGGAATTATATGTTAAAAAAGCTGTACAAAAAAGTTTATTGCTTCAGACAATCATGATACTGCAGTTGGAAGAGCATAATTAGCAATAGAAGACGATAATCAATGCACAGTAACAATATATTTGACTTGAAAACAAAGCGACATTTACTCTGGAACATAAAACTTCATGAAACGCATACAGCACGACCCTTTTACAACGAATTTTTACACAACTCACGAAGTCCAGAGTGCAAGTGTACACACCTGACCAGTCTCTTGAAGCGATATTGGTATAATCATACATACTTCCTGTTGCCAAATCGGCGACAGGCCAGCTGCTTTCGGTGGACTCAAAGGGAGAGAAAGGGGAACTACAAGTTTGTAAAAATCACAATGATGCTCTTTTTAAGCGCGATTATTCCACCCCAAGGTGCGAAAATCACAATACTGCTCTTCTCCAGCGTGAGTCAAAACAATGTCCGTACCAGTTTCTCAATACTTCATAATTTAAACAGTTCAACCGCTATGCTGTTATTGTCCGTTAAAGCTTGGAGTAACCAAAGCGATACCCTCCACATTCCACATTGTTAACGTGGAATCTGTATTCCTTTGAGAGAATTGGTCAGAGGACAATCTAGTGAGAATCTGTACAACATTGCGATTTTGCAAATTCCAAGCAAAGATGGAAGATAGCCCACAAATCAGTTGTTGATGGCGTTGAAGTTAAACCTGGATAACTGCTGAGGAATAGCAGAAATCACAGGACCGTATCTCTGCAAGGTAATAATCATTGTATCAAAAAGCTAGTACGGATTGACTATATTTCTAGTTATTTATCTTACAAAAGGCACAAAAGAACAAACAGAATAGCAAATCAAAACCCAAATAAACAACAACAAAACCAGTATTACATCAGCTCAGTTAAAATCTAAGATGCCTAGCACCCCAGCGTTGTATGAATGATGGTGAATTGGAAAGAAACATTTTTATCCTTTAACATTCCTACATTACTTGACTGACCTGAACGTTGTCGTAGAGCTCAAACAAAGGAACTGCTAGAAGTTTCAAGTTCTTGGGAACAGCGAAATACTGTCTCTCGGATAGGCAGACTACAAACAACTTTTTGCATTCCTACAATCCAAAACGTAGCTGCTTCAATAAAATTTTGACTTCACAATTCAAAAGAAAAAGAAGTTACTGCATCTGTATTATACAACAATCGCCTCAGGTATCAAACCAGAAAACGCACCTTGGGTTTGGTGATATGGGGAGGTTGATAAGGGTATAGCAAAGTCTCAAAATTTGGGCGCCACCACATAGCGGCACATTCTCCTATCTGCATCACCACCATCCAATTTATCAAAGAAGCATGATGTGTTGGGCAACCCTAACAAGCATTGTGCAGCCCAAAGCAGTAGGCATTCTCAGCGCAAATCACCTTCCAATTAGGTAAAAGAAGATGCTACCTTGAAATCAATGTTCAAGCCAGGATTGAAATGGTTCTACATATATACTTGGATAACATGGAGGATACTTGACCTGCCACTCTGGTTGTATAGAAGAGGCTGTTGGAGCAAGCTTGCTTGTAAGCTTCCGTTTGAGACCCTCAATTTCTACACAAACGCTCAACCTTTAAGATAAATCACAGGACTATGTGGTCTACGTTGCGAGATGGATGACCATAAAGAGTATAATTTAAAATAAAATAAAATGAAATAAAATCGAGAAAAAAAAAAAACAAACAAACAAAGTAAAGCAAATCAAGGCAAAGCAAGAAGAATAAAGATATTGCACTGCACCTACAAAACTACAAAAATAAGAAATAAAGATATGATCGAGAGCTTGATTAATAGGTAAATGATATATGCAGGTCTAAGGAAAAATGCAGAGACTAATTTTAAAATAAAATGCAACATCCCGTCATCCACATTCCTTATAAGACCATACCACGGTTGAGAGGTAGGATTCGATAACACTCATCATAAAACAATAAACACAGAAACTGTAGGAATCAACATCATCTTACCATTTTCCCCAGTCTTTAGGCGCCCACCAGGAAGCTTGAAGAAAGTGTTACCAATTTGCAACAATAAGACATGAGGATGATTGTGCTCTTGAACCTAAAATACCATAAACAAACATCAGAATAAGACCCACATTTGAACCAGATAAACAACTATATCTCCAAGTAGCAAATTAGAAGGTATTGTACAGTCCAATCAAGTATCAACGACCAAAACTTTAAACAAATACCACTATCACATAAAACACTACTCACCAGCAAAATCCCCTCCACACTTGTCCGCATACCTTCCTTCATGTAACTGCACAGAACCCGCTACCGTGTCATTACGTTTAAATTATTGAAACATAGTCGAGAAGATACAGTGCGAACACACCCTTGCCGCCTCACTGTAACTCCAACTTCAATTCAAGCACCCTTTAGAAAATCAGAAATAAAAAATAAAAAATAAAAAACAAAAACAAAAACAAAAACAAAGAAAGATACAAAACTAAAACTAAATATTGAAATGCTAAATAAACAAATAAACCAATCAAACACCCCCAAAAAAAAAAACCCACACAAACCCAAATTTCCAAACAGAGTATTAGAAATAAACAACCCGACACACTTGAAAACGTAACATTAAAAAAGTAAACCCACGATCTCGTCGACGCGATCTGAATTAGGTTAAGAAGCGGAATGAAAGGGAACCCACTTCTGTTTCATGCGAGCAAGACGATCGGCGACAGAGGTGTCCTTCTCCATCTTGGCTTCCTTGCTGCCAAACGTATAACTCGACAGCGGATACACATTTACCACGGGCCCAGACACCATGTTGGCCTCAGCTTCGAAACCCCAACTCAACAGTAGTGCAGACAGACAGACAGACAGGCAACTCCGAAGCTGTAGAGAGGCTATGAGCCTGGTAACACCAAATCCAGCGCTCATACACACGCTCAGCTGGTCCCTCAACGACGAAAACCCTGAAAAAACCCTCGAAACACTGCAACTCCTACAGTAAACTGCGCCTCGATCCCCTCCCCTTTCATTGACGACGATGGACGTCGTCAGTTCGCTCGTGGGTTTGTCCGTCTGTTCGTCCGCCAGGGTTTTCGTTCGTTCGTTGGTTGGTTTGTTCGTTTGTCCCTCACGTGCACTTCAACTGTAAAGAACATGAAACGAAGGATTTCGGTTGAATTCGGCTGTCTGTAATGTTATCGAACAGCTCGAAAGATTTTTTATGGTTTTGGATGGGCTGCTGAGAGAATCGGTGCGAGAGAGATCGTGGCTATGGTTTTAGGAGTATGTTTGAAAATTGTATTTTAGGAGATTGTTCTCATTCATAAGCTAGTGAATTTCTAATGCGAGGCTGATTGGAGGTTGGCTGGAGACTTCTGGCGCACCATTTGGTAGCAGTTATGGAAGCATTTTTAGGGGACATTGTTTGGATTGCGACTTGACGTGAAGAGCTAGTGATGGTTGCGGTATACATGAAGTGTGGAGTGTTGTAGCAGTAATGGCAAGTGATGCAATGGTCTAGGGTTTAGGTTTTCAATGAGAGGTTTTACTTAGGTTTGACTGTTACATGTTGAAGAAATATCAGTTTGATTGCTGGGTTGTGGCATGCTGGGGTTTTGCGGTACGAACCCGAGGAATTGCTGTATCCAGTTCCGGTTTGGCTCTTTATGTGTTTTAATCGTTATTTTATGGATTTTGTATTTCAGGGTTCTTGACGAATGAGCAAAGATGGCGTATGCACTGGTAGATGATCTGGACCCGCTGTCGAGCCACACCGTAAAGGATGGGGACATTTCTGTTGCCGATCGTCTTGCGCTAATTAAGTACGTTTAACATATATATATATATATATATATATATATATATATATATATATACTTTCGTTGCCTTTTTTTGTTTTTCTTTGTGAGAATGCCACTGTTTGTCACCAGCGCCGCGTTTTTTTGATTCTCATCTGTCTCCAGCACCTTAAATTGATTTGTGAAGCTTGGGTACAAGAGTGGGTATTCCGCGGAGTCTTCGAAGGCAAGCATTGCAAAAGCCAATAGGTTTACGATTAGGTGATGACAATGCTTGGGGTGTGTATGTTCATGATTCTGAATTTACATTCCGAGTTATGACAATACTGGTTCCTTTGGCCACAGTGCCTGGTCTATTCCAGAGTCTATAGCCACTAGTTGCGTAGTTGTATTATTATGGCTTAGAACGTTTTCATTTTATTGTCATCCGCATCTCTCAGGTTTGAGAAAGTACTAGTTTTTCTGCATATGATTGAGGACTGAGGGTGGTAAGAAAAAACAGTTATTGCTTGTGGGAACGAGGAAATATTTCTAACATGTGATGAACATCGTGGCAGGATTGGGGTTCTGTTTAGGTTAGAATTGATAGAGAAGGATGGGTGACATTTCCTTCTGAAGAAGGGGATTTGAGGAAAAGGAGGTCTAAAGGTAAAGGGTGGAAGAGAAAGAGAGATGAGCTTAGACGGGTCGGAGTCACCGGCAGCGACATTATCACCATCATCCAGTTGTGGTGATTTTGCAGCTTTGCTTGACGCTGAGCTATTTGTACATGAGGAATCAACGGCTGACAGGCCGGAAGACGGGGGTTTGGTGTCAGCAGAACCAGACAAGGATGGTGACTCTTCTGATGAGGAGGATGATTCTAGTGAAGAATCCAATGGGGAGGAAGAGGAATCCGATGTTGACATTGATGCTGATGATGATGATGAGTCCGAAGCGCAATTAGTTGTTGAAAATGATGGGGATAATCTAGAGGAATCCAGGTGAAGTTCTAAGAGGGCTGCCCAATTACAGGCCAATTCTGTGATAGCCTTACAATTGTCGTTAAGAAATGATGGTTGAGCAAATATTGTGTTTTTCGAAATGGTTTTCTGTGGGCACGAAATTAGTCTTCATTTATCAATCATTTGGGTGCAGTCTTGCTTACTTGTTTTGTAGGATGCAATATCTGCACGCTTGATAGATCTGCTTCGTTCCTCACAAGATTGGGAACTCATCTGGTCTCCAATACCATGCCTAGGGATGTTCTTGTTAAATTGTTTGATGATTTTGTGGGATGATAGCTTGAAAAGAAGGCGTAAAAATGAGACTGGTCCTTCACCCGATTCAGGTACAATTTTTTAGTTTTGAATTATTTAATTATTTATTTTGCGTAGAGAAGATTTGCAAGTCTTTCCATCAGTTAATCATATGTCTGTATTTCGCTGTACTGCTCTCGGTATGCTACTGCTGCGACTTTTTTTGAATGATGCCTCACGTCACTTGTCGTGTCCATCTCTGCCTCGCGTATAGCTGTCCATAGATGCCTTGATTCGTCTGTGTGGACGATGAGAGTCATTCAGAGAGATAGTTGAAATTCTAATGCTTGTTGGTTAAAATGGAGGAAGAAGATTAGCAATTTTCAAGTATTGTTTTTAATATGCTAATTTATTGGATCCTTGAGCAGGCACAGAAGCCAGTAATCATTGTCCTCCACATCCAGGATTCATATGGAATGTTTGTATTCGATGTGGTGAGCGCAAGTCCACCGAACCAACAAATGACCCGGTCCCAACTCATGTGGGACTGCGATATATCCACGAGGTATGCTCTCGTTAAATGCTCCATCAACTTCCACATATTTTAGATTTACTAGACCATTTATATTTGAGGGATATGTTAGTGCTAGACTTGGCTTGTTCTTTTCGCATGATTTTGCAAACCATGCTCGTTACATCATAGAGTTCTACATGCCGCACAGATTTGCACTGTTTACTAATCAGTATTCGTAATGGATGTTATCATGTATCTTTTATGTATCATTTTTTACTATGATATCTATGTATTTCTTAATGTAAAATCTTGGCATTCTATTTCAGGGTTTGGAAGTATCAGAATTGGAAGCATCTCGTGTGCGGAATGCTGAGCTTAGGCGGGTCAACAAAACGAAAAAGTTATTGCTCGTTGTTGATCTCGATCACACCGTGCTTAACTCTGCACGTTTTGCAGATGTACCTGTTGGTATGTAATTCAAACTTCACCATCATCCAGATTTATTGCTGCACGACAATTGGCTGACTGAAAAGTCACTTGAATTAGGAATTTGATTGGGGATGCTTCCATTTGGCATGCTGTATTACTGTAGAAATGTGGATTTTTGTACCCAACGATATGAATTCCCGCAGGACGTGGATTGCAGGTGAACTGCAAGCGGGAGGGAGCAGTTTACACCAGATGACGAAGTTAGGGCTGTGGACAAAGCTGAGGCCATTCGCACATGAATTCTTACAGGAGGCAAGCAAGTTGTACGAGATGTACATATATACTATGGGTGAACGGAAATATGCTAAGAAAATGGCTAAATTACTGGATCCCACTCGCCAACTCTTCGCTGATCGTATTATTTCTCAGAATGACAGTACTAAGCGATATACTAAGGACCTTGACGTCGTCCTTGGAGCAGATTCAGCAGTAGTGATTCTGGATGACACTGAAGCGGTATTGCTCTGCCTTAATACAGCTTAGTATGTGGAAGTTAGCTAGCGAATCAGGTGTCCTTGTCGCTGTTATTGTGCTGTTGATGATGTTTATTTATCTAATCTTAATAATATTTAAAAAGATTTTAAAAATTAAGATAAATTTTCATGTGTTCAGTTATTTCTTTTTCTCACAGGGAGATATTATTTTATTTGTATGCAGGTATGGCCCAGTCATAAGTCAAATTTGATCTTGATGGAACGGTACCACTTTTTTTCGTCAAGCTGTTCTCAATTCGGTGTAAACTCGGCCTCTCTGGCTCAATTGTACAGAGATGAAAGCGAAACTGAGGGCACTCTTGCAACAACTCTCAAAACATTGCGTGCCATACACCATGAATATTTCAACGGGAAGGTATATTTTTTTAAGCAACTTTCACTCTTCTTCGTTGCTGTTAAAAGACTGAGATAAGAACGGGGAAGAACGATCATAGCCCAACTTCGTGTCATTAATTCACTGATACTCATACTGCAGTGAAAACCAAAATATGAGTTTCAGTCTTGGAGTTGGCCTCTTATAGCTTTGGTTCTAACAATTTAGTTGCCTTGCAGAGCCAGAAGCGAAAGCTCTCGTCTGATTCCTCTGATGTTCGATTGGTATTCCTCTTTTCCTATGTGTTCACTTTTGAAAATGGCAGAAGCTATTACAAGCAAAAGAAGCAACTGTCTTCATCTAAATGCTCTTTGTTATTTCATGATTTTTGTAATTTGCTGTTTCTAGGGAATCTTACTACATCTGGTGTAATAGTTGTTTTTGTTAATGTATATTATCAGGTCATCCGTAGCCTTCGTGCCAAGCTACTTGCAGGGTGCAACGTTGTCTTAGGCCCAGAGATTCACCCATTCTGGCAGTTGCCGGCCGAGCTAGGAGCTCGATGCAGCACCTTCTGCGACCACACAACCACGCATGTGGTGGCTCTAGATCCGGGAACAGACCAAGCGCTGTGGGCAAAGGAACACGACGTTTTTCTTGTCCATCCCCGTTGGGTTGACGCAACGAGTTATCTTTGGAGTCGGCCACCTGAGGAGGACTACCCTGTCACTGAGAATCCTGCAGGACCAGCCGTGGTAACATTTGCAAAAAACGTTCTAGTGGAGCCTTTAATTGTGGATGATACGAGCGACAAGGGTGAGGTTGAGCCATTAGTTGATTTAGAACCTAGCAAGGACGAGACAGTCTCCCAAGCAACAAATGCTGTTGAACTTAGTGGCTCCAGCTGCTTGGAATTGCCACCAACGCATGTGAATGGATTAAGCGATGCTAGTTCTGTTGAAGATGAGGACTTGGAAATTGAGTAAAACTTTTCGTACAGGCTGGTATAAATAATACAAGTTAAGCTTTGATGGATTGCCTTTGTATTGTATTCCCTCCTCGCATTCTGAGGGCGTCCCTCACCTGCTCAAGAAGTTGCTCTTTACCCACGTTCCATCTGACTGCATCTACAGTCTTTTTCTTGCTGCAATACTCATGTTGGTTTGAGGATAATTGGTCATATGATTTGTGACGTTGCTTTGTTACACATATCATGGCGAATCATGCAACACTAGGTTTACTTGAAGGGGAAGTACCAGATTCCACGCGCCGATTTGCAATCGTTTGGAAGTCATGCTTAAATCTTTTTCTTCCCGTGAATTGCTATCTGAAGAAGAACCTCCCTTGAAATACCTCAACCGAAAGCGAAATGACGCAAGTATGTCAGTTGTCATCTTCCTGCACAAATTCACCATACATCTACGTGAATTACGGAACTGCTTCATCCGTCGCAGGATCCAGGAATCCGTCGTTTACGGTCATATTGTCGCGGGATGAAACCTCATAGCATGATGAATCTTCCATCTTGTGGCAAGCCTGTACTAAACGATTAGGTTTCCTTCAACAGAGACTGCATTCAAAAGTATAAGTTATATTCGGCTCCTCTAGCACAGGTTGCTACAAAATTGGGTATTAGCATCATACCTCTGGAGGTGCCATACAAGTTCACCAAAATTATCGCTACGGGAACAAGTGGCGATTTCTTCAAGTGGAATTCAAATCGATGCAATTTTGAGGTCAGAGTGTGCGTTGTCTGAAACAGAGAGACAGTCGTCTGTCATGAACTTTTGGATTCTTTCGTGATTGTGTCGAAAAATTTCTTCTGCAGTGCGATCTGAGCCGTGACATATAATTTCAAAACTGGTGTTATTCTGCTGGGGAGCAGGAAATCTGAAAAATGCGGAGCTATTGCAACAGTAGTGAAAAGAAATACACATGCTAAATTACATTCAAATCGTGAATTCTGCATATGTTTGCTCAACGAAGATCAGAAAGCCTGTCATGAAGGATATGTAACAATGCAGCGTCATTGGAAGGTTGGAGCGGTGCGCGAGGAGGTAGAGGAAAGGTTTAGAGAACTCTCGTCCATAGCAATGGTGGCTCATAGGGATATAGAGCGTCACCTATGGCTGGCTGAGCATAGACCTGATTTAGCTTTATTAGCTCCAGCTCCATCTCGAGTGAAAATGGCCCTGGTAGAAAAGATGTCACGGAAGAAGAAAGATGTCGATGGCAGAACAGCGAACAGAAACCCAACTTGTTCCAGCCGGAATATTAATAATTTGGTTCGTTCGAGTGGAAGAGAATGTGATGACCTCCGCTTCTCCTCGAAATCGGTTCTTATCGAACTCCCCTCTTTGTGCAAAATTCCGATTCAGAGTTGTGTAGTGTATGTAACCTAATCTACTGCATACTTAAAAATGTGCATCTCAAAGCAATTCCGGAATCACACGACCAACATTTTGTGGGACTTGTTTTCAGGAAGATGATCATCAGAGGCCATTGATCGACGCCATGGCAAAACGTTCGGCCAGGAAGCAGAAGAAAGTCGTACAAAAAGATGTTCCAGTTAAGGTCGATAAACGCGAGCCAATCCTTGCATGGTTCAAATTTGATCACGAGACTCGTTCCTCAAAAGATAATCAGGGCACACAACTCAGACGTAGCTGCGGAGCTCCGAAGCCCCACCCGATTGAAGATCAAGTTCCCTGCAGCTTCAGAGATTGGACGCATTCCTCAAAGGTGAAACAAAAGGTTTGCGATGATGAGAGGTTTAACTCCAATCGTGATAATTCTCATGGGGAATGGGCCCCTAATTCTTCCTGCCGGCTGACCAACTCTTCGGGCCGGCCGAAGGAAGAGTTTGGCAAAACAAAGATAGAAGATGGTAAGTGCCTCTCTTACTGTGAGCTTGATACTGTTTAATTTGCAATAACTTAATAAGCACGGCAAACGATTTTTCAACAGAGAAATGTTGATTTCCAGATGTGCATACTCTACCTGGTGCTGATTTCTAGAAATAACATATTCGATGTTTACGATTTTTTGCATTGAGATTATCATTTACTTAAAGTGATGCAAGAACCTCTCGAAGAAGGTTTATGCAGGGTTGCTGGAATACAGGGGCGAAGAACTGCAGGTAAAGCTTCAAAACTCACTCACAAAGTACGAGATCAGAGCTGCGACAATCTTGAGCCATTAGTCGATCATTGGTCACAGGTATTAATTCTTAATACAATTTCAATTGTAGTCAACATCACGGTATTCTTTTGAATGCAACTGCAGCAGTTTCTGCTACAAAGTTAAAGAAACTTTCAAAATGGCAACCACATTCCATATCCTGGACTCCATCGAGAATGACCAAACTCTTGGCATCTGTTAGTCTCTTGTGGCAGTTTCCCTTGTGCTCTGTCATCTGCTGAAGAACCTCGGATTTAGGTTATTAATCTCTTTTCTGAATAATCGACAGACTGCATCGACGCAAGAATGTACAACACATCATGCAGAAGAGGACATTGACATTTTGCGGGGACACGTGACAGCAAACGTTCTTGAACGATGGGCAGAGCCTTTGGAACAATATTTTAGCACTATTCAACTATTTGTAAGTTGCCACCTTAGCTATATTAGACACAAATTGCGAAATAGCTGGATTGAAGCATTTCTGAAGGTGGTGTTATGTTCAGGAACAAGAACTCCGGGAGAAGTGGCTTACCCCGAAGGAATCAGAGGCAATACCAGATTCTGAAATCCAAACAGGCTGTGATGAGGAGTTGACATGTGATCGACATGCTCCCAATTTCCAGAGATTATCAGAGGAACGAATGCAAAAGACACTTTCAGATGAAGTGGTAGCCCCAACCGATGGATCAGTTAACGACTTGACAGCGAGATCATCACAACTCACACACAGTGTGGGAAGTGACCAGCAAAAACAAGTAAAATTTTCGGATCTTCAATGCAACGCTGCGACTTTGAATACGTCACAAGTGCATAGGAAATCTCTGGGCCAAGTCGAGGCTCAATCTACTAAATCCCTCCACAACAGAAAGCTTAGAGGTGCATCCTCACTGCGCGAAGAAGCAGAGCTGTGGACAGGTAATAAACATTCTCATAAGAAAAGGTTTGAAAGCGCAGGGGAGAACTCTGTAGCATCGATGTCAAAGCACTCATCTCAGGTGGCTAAATCCCTTCATGGCAAATCGAAACCAAAGCAGCTTTCTCCAGGTTTTAGAACTCGCAGGCCGGTAGAGTCGTGGCCACCTGAAAAACTTCATACAGCAGAATATAAAGATCTGCAGCAATTAACATTCTATAATCCTGGAACTCACATTGTCACGACAAAATGGGAGAACACCCTATTAGAGACACTGGAAGACAAAGCCCGAAAGAAATCAGAGTGGTGGCCAGTGACCAGACGTCCTTACAGCATGTCTGAATTGAAACTACTGCGTGAAAAGGAGGAGGAATTAGCGAAGATAACAAGGAAGTACCCACCTGGAAAAATATATACCGGATACACTATTAAACGACATTCAAAATCCAGTCGCAGGTCAATTAAAATCAAGAAAGCAGAGGAACATCCTCAGGGGGTGGATAGACCTCAGCAGGTTCTCGAACATTGTCAGAAGATGGATAGACTGCTTAATCTGTGTGCTCTTGATGAACTGAAGAAACGGAATAATAGCAGAAAGTTGCCTGAGAAGTCTGACGAGCAATGCCAAAAGGTAGATGTATCCAGCATTTATGGCGCTAATTGTGAAAGTAAGAATCAACTGAATGTCGGAAGGCATTTCAAAAGTAAAACGGGGCAAAATGCGCTTCATGCACTAAGAATGCCCAGACGTTCGAATTCTATTTTGTTTGGTATCAAATTTGATCACAGGGAGCGGTCCGGGGTTAAAATGCAACCCACTACAAGATGCGAGGAACAAGTATGCGCAATTATCACACATTCCCAAGATCAAGTTTGTGAGTTAATTACGGAATTCCAGCCTGGGCAGGATTCTCTCCACCAGAACCAGATCAAAACATCCAAGGAAACAGCTTCTTACCTCTTGCCTCAGATCAAGACACCAAGAGAGTTGGACATTCAAGGGGGTGGTTCACGCCAGGAAAATACACAGCGAAAATTCCCAATTACACTTCCAGTGGGACCCATTGATGAGATCCGAAATCGGGGGTGTGAAGTTGACATAAGAAAAGATGGGCCGCAGACAGATTCTACTGTGCAGCAAGGGGTTGAAAGGTACATGAATGCATTTCTTATTTTGCAGTTTGATGGGCCGCGATGTTGTAGCAATCTCTTCATCGACTTAGATGAATAGATCAACTGCAGCAGATATGATTACGGAGAGAAACCTTCATCAAGGAATATTCTGTACTGTATCGATTGTAATGTCTGCACCTACTGTAACTTTCCAATTGTGAAGTAGTATGCGTTGGTGGAGTATCTATTAGTGGAATACCCTGATAGTTTGCGCACTTTTTCCTGCTACTATCGCAACTTCTGAGGCTCACTGGGTGTGCTTGTGCAGGTTAGCTGACAAACTTATTGATCAAGTGGTCAACGAGGTTGCTTCCGAATTGACAGAATTTGTTGAAACAGTTGCTGAGCAGATGTTCATGGATGAGTTTATCGCATGACAACATGTTTCTCCATTGATCAGATTAGGCTGAACCATACTATGAAGTAGAACGTGCAATCATGGTGAGTTAGCGAGTGTTTAGACCAGAAAATGCATTTCAGTTGAACGCCTCAGAGTATGTTGAAAATCTGCGAAGACACTGAGCTTGTGCTCCTTATACACCAGAACTTCCTCGTCTTCTCCGCGCTACAACTACATCATACGATGGTTTACTGTTCAAGTCAAAGAGCACATCTAACATTCTCCATGAACAACTTCAGCAACAGTAGTTTCATGAGCCATTGGCTGATTAATTTAAACTCTCAGTATGGGTAGAAAAGTTCTCCGTGTGGTGAACAAGGGTGAATATAACTACAGATTCCTAGTCTTCTAGTTTCGGGGTCTCATTACTGTTAATCAGAAATTTCACAGCAAGAGCGCCACTCATGTAGAGGCCAATTAATGGTCCAGCCAGTAGACATTGCGTCAAGGGGTCAGTGGAAGGAGTCAAGATAGCCGCAGCAACGACAGCTCCAACAACAACATATCTCCACACCGACAGCATTTGGTCCCCCGTTATCAGCCCTGTCTGCCCCAATAGTAATTGAATTACAGGCACCTGTACAGTCCAGGAAACTAACTATCAATCTCAACTCCTGGAGTAAAAAATTGCTCAGGTGCACTCACATGTGCTTGAGAACTCAGTTGACAACACCATGCTTTCAAGCAGAAAATAAAGGGAATAATGTAGTGTTGGAAGGAGGTGGGGTCTGACCTGGAAGGATAACCCAGTACTAAACATGAGCACCAACACGAACTCGAAGTACTGGTCGATAGACCAAAGCGATTCAACTACCCCTTCTGCGTAGTTGACGAAGAAGTTGAGAGCTGCAGGAGTAAGAACTGAGTAAGAGAACGCCAGGCCTGCATAGAATAAGAACGAGGATCCGAACACAACGGGCCCCAGCAGTTTCCTTTCGCTACGAGTTAAACCAGGAACAACAAACGCTATAATTTCATATAATATTACGGGGCTGCCGAGGAGAAGTCCAGTATAACCTGACACCTGCAGTACAGAGGGGTGCACATTAATGGCCAGGCAATTGGGATCGGTAGAATCCACAAAGAGCGTGAAGGAATCGTAGAGGGTTTAACCTTAAGAGTGGTGAAAAAATATTCGCCAGGTGAGAGAGCCAAAAATCGAACACCAAGGGGAGAAACAGGCTTTTCGAGAAGTACAATGAGATCCTTGGCAAAAACGAAACAACCAAGAATAGCTGCCCCAACCGCTAGAACAGAAACCAGAAGTCTCTCCCTGAGCTCTTCTAAATGGTCAAAGATGGTCATCTCTTTATCATCGGGGAGCTCCTCCTCTGGTGGGTAAAGCCATTTTGATAAACTATTCTCTTCAAATACTGCCTCTTCCTTATCCTCCGCTAGTTCTTCTGCTTGCCGTTCTTCGGATTGCACGGCAGTTCCTGTAAGAACAAATTCAAAACATGAGCTCCTCTCCAAATGGTAAAATGTGATGTGTCTGACAACCCTCTCAGTGCCTCAGAAAGATAGAAAAAGAACAAGAAAAAGATTAAAAATAAGCAAAAATAAGCAGCGCGCATCACCATCAAAATGAGAATGCTCAAGCACTGAAATGGTAGCTCTCCATGTAGGAGAAACGCATCGAGAATATCAATTCAATTCTTAAGAAATTCCGAGTGACAACATTCTTTCAGCTTGATTGCGCGATTGTCAGTGAGAAAGACCTCTACAAAGTGAGAGAAAGATGATAAAAGCTTCAATGAAAGCACAAGACTTTCCTTTTGACAAATGTCAACCCTCACGATGTGGGTTTTAAAGGCAGGATTGAAATAAATGCCCACCTTTAAAAAAATTCTAATGAAATTTCCAACAAATGAGTTCTGGGTTACCACCAAGTTCCTTCAGGCTGCCTTTGACCAAGAGCTATAGCCAGTTTCGTCACCTTAAACCAATAACCCTAGAAGAGGTTACAAGTTTTCATTGGTTGAATCGAATTCTCTTCGATCACTCCGGCATTGATAGGCAATGTAATTTTTCTACTGAGAAATCTGTACAATCAGATGAGCAGAAAGAGAGCGCAATGCGACGATACGGGTGGAAATTCTAAGACTGGTACGAATTGTGTACACAGCCACTTCGACTCTAAGTTTCCCTCTTGAAAGACTCCTACAGGAGAGAGTGAAAGGCCAACACATTCAGAAGAAGTTGCAATTCACCCCTAAGAAAATTCCACTCATGAAAGACGCCAACGGATGAAGATATTTTAAGAAGCTTGAAGAACTCCATGTTGTATAAATTTCAAGCCGAACGCCAGGTCGAGCTCCTCCATACCATACCCCTCATGCCTAAACGAGATTTCCTTCGGCTCCCAATCCAAGATAAAATTCTATATAGAAAATTATTAGAAAATCAATAAAAAAAAAAAAAAAAAAAAAAAAAAACCAATCAATCACCAAAATCTCGGAATACCCAGACGAGGAAGCAACGGGGTTTACACTCTGCAGAAGTAGAAGCTTTGGAACCGAGAGCTCAAAGCCCTAAGGTAGGCCAGCCGTATGATTCCACATCAAGGCTCGTCAACAAACGTACACTTGCACTCCACAACAGCGGCTATATCAACAACCTTACATTCATTCTCAGGGTCAATCGCATAATACTTCTTACTCGTCTCGATCCGCTTGAGGTACTCAGGGCGCGCAAAAATTTGGACGCGGTTATTGTCACTCCTCGCGAAATTCAATCCCCCTTGAATCCCCTTCGCAGCATGAACTCGTAGCAGGCCCGCGACCATGCTCGACACCACGGGTACAGCAGCATTCGACTGCGCCCGCTTGGTGTTGCCATTCATGGCCGAACCTAGCGATAGCTTCGAACCCAGCGATGTTGTCGCCAAGGCTGCCAAGGCTGCCATCGTTACCATGCCCTGTGATTCCAAGCAATCCCCGATTCGCAACTTCGCGAGCACAATCCCTCGATTCTGCAATACTGGCTGCAGACGCTCTCCGCACCTCCGTCTCGGATAAGGGGCGTGGCGACAACACCCGGCATTTCAACGGGCCGGGTAGGCAATTCAGCGCGCCTGGTCCCTCGAACTTGGTGGGTTTCTTGTGGCCTCTTGTAGTCTCTTCCAAGTGGTCCCAATTCAGAGGAAAAAAATTTGTGGCCCTAGAAATTTATCCTCGTACCCACTAATCAGATCTTATGATAAAATAATATAGAATGCCGTTTCCATTCGTTGCAAATTACTGAAACGTCGACCGTCAAGCGATTGAGTTCGTTACAAAACCCATGTATCATTATGGAACATTTGACTGCATAGAATCAAAGAGTCAACAGAGCGTAATTTTTTATGTCTTCTCGGAGGATATATATTTCTCATGTCATGTCGAATCCTTAATCCTACTTAGCAAAAATTGCAATTAGACGTAAACAAGTAACTACCCAGAAATATGAGTTCCGAGTATGAAAATGGAAATGCTAGGATTAGCAAGCTTGGCCATGTGCACAAATCTGCAGAAGCATGGGAGTGGATGCTTGCGCAGCTCACAAGTGGAGCGGAGTCCAGTGGGTCCGCTGGGACATAGTATGAAAGGCGGACACCGACCTCTCTCTCTCTTCTTAAATCGCTTCTTGAGTGCAACAGGTTAATCCCTTGTTGTTCACAGTTGGGCAAATTGTAGCGGCTCCTTCAAGTTGTGGGTGCAGGTGGGAGTGACCTTGAATTGACTGGTGACTTCTTCAATCTCAGTTGCAACTCAATTCCGGATTCGCTTCTAGAATTATCTTTAAGTTTATCGGAGCTGATTACGGTTGCTGTTCAATTTGTGATGGGTATTCCTTCTTTGAGATTTGGAACGTTTTTTGTTTTTTCTGAGTTTTGGGTTTGTTTCTTGCGGAGTACGTGATTTGTAGACTCGTCTTCTGGCGGCCATCGATAAAGTGAACTGAGAACCAATGTCCGTAGATGCTATCGTGCTTGAGCTTGTGGTTGTACAGGTTTTGAGTTCCGTTGTTTGTTTCTTGTTATTGTGATTCACGCCCTTTCTAGCCTCTGTCACGGATTCTCCGATGGCTCGTGGGTTTGCATCACAGTATCGGTTAAATTAAACGAGTTGAAGCCTCAGTGATTTATTATTGGTCTGCTCCATTTCAGCGCATCTGCTCATTATCGTTCGACATGTCACTCTGCTGCCAGGAAGTGCGTAACTTCAATTCTTATGACACTGTCGATGTTGAGGTATACCAAGCTTCCTGCACAGTACCCATGTGCTATAAAATCAGGTAATCTTCTGTGTTCACGCTCTAACTTTAACATCTAGCTTCGGACAAGTGATCCAACTGTTTGATTATTGAAAATTACATGATAGAGCAAACTCTATATTCAGTTCGTACTTAATTTGTGTCAGGGTTCCCTCTGAATTTAAAGTTTCACCAAATTCAAGCTTAACATGAATTAGTTTCAACTTTTGATTGGCCTTTTCAGATGGAATAAGATATAGTCTCAATGCAGTGGGTTTGGATTGCTGATCCTTTGGTTACAGGCGTAACTACTGTTGCTCCGAGCGCCTTCATCGTTGCTACTGTTCTACTTGAGTCAATGCAAGCTTTGGCTTGCCGATCCATTTCACATCAACACTGTGTCCTTTCCCACATCTACAGCTGCACACCCTTGAAAGCGAACATTTCTCGGCGAATGGATGTAAGACAACTCCACTGTTCACCTATCTCTTTCAGTTTAATTTATAAAACACTTTCTTGAGGTTTTCTCGATGATGAGAATATATTGGTTACAGTGTCGATCTAAGCTCTTTTTGGTGAATTGTCTTTTTTAATAGTCTCATGCCGTCATCACTTATTGCAGTCTGTGATGATGAATCCAACCTTGACAAATTTTGTGACATTTCCCTTCATCTCATACACAATAACTCTTATTTCATGTTCATAATTCGTGTGCACCTGTGTGTAAGTGTATTTTTATTTATTTATTTTCTAGTCTTTTAAATAACAGCAAAAGGCGTTTTTGGATTCTTCTTTTATGATGTTATCTCTGAATAGTGATGGTTGAATTATCCAACCCAAAATTGTTTTTGTCATGATGTATTTGAGACTTGTGTACGCTGTAATGAAGAGTTTTTTCTACATGCAGTATTTCTGGAGACGACGCGCGATTGATAATACGGGGCTGGTGAATAGTCTACGAGAGAATGGGACGATCACTACCTCGAGAGTAGCAGAGGTGATGGAGCAAATAGACAGAGGGCTTTTTGTTCCAGCTGGCGTAGGCGATCCTTACTTTGACACTCCTGCGCCAATAGGATATAATGCAACAATATCCGCTCCGCACATGCACGCCGCATGCCTTGAACTTCTTAAGGACCATCTGCAGCCTGGCATGCGCGCTCTTGACATCGGTTCAGGTTTGATCACCTCCATATACTGAATTAATTCATGTAACAGTAACTGCACTGCTCGTGAGGGTATTGATTGATGTCACCTTCTCTTTGTTGTCTTCTGTTCTTTATCTTGGTAAAAGTTTACACGCTTGCTTTTCTAGCAGATTGCCTCTAAGAGCAAACTGCCAGTCATCTCAGAACTTGTCTGTTGGATTCCTGATCATGAAGTTGGCTTCATTGAGTTCAGATTCTGTCTTCCTCTTTGTGATTGCGAAGATTAATAAGATACAGGGTGCAGGTTCTGGGTACTTGACAGCAATCTTTGCTCTTTTAGTTGGAGAAACTGGTCGTGCTGTTGGAGTGGAGCACATATCTGAGCTTACTGAAAAATCGGTAGAAAACGTGCAAAAGTGCAATGCTGCACATCTTCTAACTTCTGACAGCCTTTCACTACATACTGGAGGTAGGTTTGGGAGGGCCCTCATATTCTTTTACATGATCATAATGATCTCATTTAGTTCACAAAATACTCGAGCGAATTTCTTGCAAATGACAATTATTTCCCATTTTCTGGCTTTTTAGTAATTGTATACCTTCCAAGAACGACATAATAATCACTAAATTTGTCTTCCGCTGACTTTCAGAAGAGGTATTGATGCTTGCAAGTTTGTTCGTTAAGCAGTGTATGATGTTATTGTGTTCACAAAATATTCTATTGTTCAGTTCAAGTGAAATTCTATGCCTACTACCGGGGAATGAAATATATTCGTATTAGATAGTTCAATGTAAGTTTTTATTGTCATAATCTGTGATATTTTAACAGAATTTAGGCATACTATGTGAGTCTATTAAACGGCCTGTGAATGGACGCACGGAAAACTATTCGTAGCCAATATCCACCACATTCTGGCAGCACTTGACTGAGTGATATGTAAGCAGATGGCAGAAAAGGGTATCCAGATCTCGCGCCATACGATGCTATTCACGTGGGAGCAGCTGCCCCAACAATTCCACCCGCTCTAATCGAGCAGTTAAAGCCTGGAGGGCGAATGGTCATACCTGTAGGTGACGTTTTCCAGGATCTGGTTGTAATAGATAAAGACATGCAAGGAGAGGTGAAGCAGTGGGATTACACCCAAGTGCGGTATGTACCCTTGACTGACCGCCAGATGCAGCTGGAAAAGGAGCAGTGATCTTCAAATCGTCAGACGGTACAGGTAATCTATTTTGTGTATAGGAAGGCATGGACACTGGTGTGAGGAAGTTTTGGATTGTGATCAGAGCAGTTTTATGTAAAAATGTTTTTCTCACTACATGTACACACACACACACACATATATATATATATATATATACATACATGTATATCGGTTTGTAATATAGTTGCAATGGGTTCTCCGACTTTGAGGCTTGGTGTTGAGTTACAACTCTGTAGCTGATGTTTGCTGGAGTTTCTGGTTAGCTTCCTTGCAGTGCACCTGAGCATCAGGTATCATCCTCATTTAGACACACTTCCTGTTAAATAGCACCAGCTATGGTATCAACTCACTTTTTTTGATGTACTAGTGCCTCTTTACACCTAGGTTCCTTCCACTTTGTTCTGAACTGTGCAGGTTGATTGTCATTACAATGTTTTGTAATCAGTAGAATTTGGAAATACAGTTCAACCATAAATTATGTGTTTTACTGAATTAAGTCATGTTTTATATATCATATCAATAATATTTAGCTTTAAATCAAGTATTGTATGATATTATAGTATTGTTTTATAAGTTAAATACATGTATTTTTCATAATTATAATTTATAGTATGATCATTATTGCTTTGAACAAGTGATTGTCTTTGTCTTTATGCACTTTTGAAGTTTATGGTATATTGAAATTGTATACATATTAAATTATAAAATATGGTAGTTTTTAGAGTAAAAAGGTTTTAATTATAGTTTTTTGTAATTTCTAGTTATAAATAGATGTAAGATATGAATAGGATGATTTTTATTCTTACAATTATTCACATCAATTAGTAAATTTTTAACTTTAATAAATCATAACTTATTATTAGTCATAGAATTTTATCTAAGAAAAATATTATATATATATTTTTTTATGCTAAAATATCAAGAATATTCCATCATTTTTGATAATAGCAAATATACCTTCAAATGTAATAAACTATTATTAATTTGACAAAAGCATAGTAATTCTTATAGATTCTTCTATTTTTTTTTGTCTTCATATAAGGCTCTAATTACATGCTTTTATGCTGTTACTTGCAATTAAATCTTGGCTTGTTTTTTTGGTATTTTTCCTTGTAATTTCTCAGCATCTAAAAAATATCTTACAAAGGTGTTGAAAGAGTGAGTGGAAATTACCATCATATTTATTTTTAAAAAATTCTATATCATATTTTGGTTTTTAGATTTAAGTTGCTAAGCAACTTTGGCAGTTGTAAAGAATGTTGCAATTGAAGTCATCCAAGATAGTAGCAAGAATAAATATGTGAGGGATTTTGGTATATCACAATTCAATATTGTCATTGCAGAGAGCTTTAAGAAAAAAAAATAAATAAATAAAACAAAAACAAAAAAATAAAACAAAACAAAACAAAACAAACAAACAACATTGCTATAAATCCAAAAATCCATGTAATTGTTATATTGGACTATACTCAGGCAATTGTTGCTATTGTTTTAGGTTAATTTATCAGAAATTGCCTCAATGGAGTTTAATGTAAATTTCAAAGATGATTATATCATTTTTAAACCTTTCTGCAATTCTTACCAAGCAATTGTGTCCATGTTTGGTGCAATCTTAAAAACAATTATGTTGTATGCTCCAAATTTTGATGTGCCAAAAGAAGAGACTTGTACACCATTCTCAACAAAAATTTGGGCAATTTTTGCGCATACTCCTCTCTGTCCTATAGGTAAGGTGTTTCTTTAGCATGAGTTGTAGCTCATTGCATCTTTATGCAAAAAAATATGATACCCTTGTCTTTTACGATGAGGCCTACAATAAGTTGGTCTTCAAGGAAAAGTATGTGTTAATGTCTTCACTAGATAGCATATATGAGAGGACAATGACAATGAATATCTTAGGCAAGACATTCTCGTTGACAAGATGGAAAATTAAATGGGTTGTGGCACTACTATATCTGACCCAGAGAATCCATTTGGCACATTCTTACTTAATCTTTGCAATTGCAAAAATACTCTAATAAACATCTATAAAAGCATTACAAGCACTTAATTCATTCTTTGCAAAACTAATTAAAAGCCATAATGCTTAAAAAGACATCCTTCTTAAAGATTTGAAGAGCATAAGGTCTAAGGTTAATGAACCAAAAGAAATCTATTTCATCATGATAGATTATATCTTTTTTGGATTTGAGAATAATGTTGCTTTTTGCAAGTATTTGATTGAAGAATTTGACATAGCAATGATTTCTCCTAACATCATTCACACAAATCCGGAAGATGGTAAGAACCATAACAATTGTTGTACATTTGTCAGATTGGTGATATCTTATCATATTCAAGGATAAATTTTCTATTATAAAAAACATCAAGGATAAATTTGCAATTAAAAAGAATGTAAGGATATTCTTGATATTTTAGCATATTCAAGGAGTATATATGATTTTTTGTATCTAGTATGTAAATCTATTTATTTAATAATTCTATATTTTTATAAAAATTTAAATTATGATAAAATAAAATAAAAAATAATAATAAAATAATTCCAAATAATTAAAAATATATTTAAAAAATAATAATTAAAATTTTAATTAAAATAATCTTATAGAATTTTTATAAATATATTTCATAAAAATATTAAATTTAATAAATTATTTTAAATATTATTATTTTTAGGATTTTAATTATATTTATATTATTAAAAAATATATTATATTAAAAAATATATTTTCTAATATAAAAAAATATAAGTTTTTAGAATATTACTATAACATGAAAACAACTAATAGTAATTTTTTATTACATCTAAGTAAATACATACATTTTAAATTATATCTAAATATTTTTACATGAATTTTTACATTTAATAATTAAATCAATAATTTTCTTCAAAAATAAATTTTGATAAAAATATTTATTTACATATAGAAAATAGATTTTATCACATATTTAATTTACAAAGATAAATATAAATTTAAACTTTTAACTTGATATAATCATAATATATATAATTTACTTATTTATTTATTTTATTTATTTTAATGTAATGCATATTCAAAAGATTTTTTATATGTTAATTTTTAAATTTTAAAAAATTCAACTATAATTTATTTCTTATACATAATATTTTATATTATTTTTTAAATTTTAATCATTATAATTAGATATTTAATAATTCATAATTTTGCAATAATTTTAATATTTGAATCATGAATAAAATATAGATTATTTTTAAATTTATAAATCCTATATGATTCAATTAACCTTGAATTTTTTATGTCTAAGATGATTTTGTATTACAATAGTTGCATAAAAAGAAATAATGTGTATTTATAAATAAGTCAATAGATATAAAACTGAGACAAAAATTAATAAATTAGGTATTTGAGTTTTTATAAAATTCAAAATTTTGATATTTTATTATCTATAAAATAATTTATTTTTGAGTAATTGATGTTTTATAATTATTTATTATTAAATATTTAAAAATAATAAAATCAAAATTTCTAAATCTATTCTTATAACCATGATTAAGTTTTATAAAGTATCTTTACTAACATATATTGTATATGATAAAGATTTAATCTATGGTTTGATTATTTAGAACAAAAATGTATTATTGGTACTAAAAACTAACCCTTATTGAAACTACTTTTAAATACAAATTGTATTGCAAATGAAGCAATCTTCAACTTTGTAAAGAATATTAATAAAAATATTATAAAGTCATATATAAGCATATAAATTATATTTTTAAATTAACAATAATATGAATTATAATACATCTATTTAAAAAAATTATATACAAAAATTTTAAAAAGATATTTGTAAATATTAACCATCATCAATTTGTAATTCCTTGAAGCTTATCAAAATTATATGTATGAATTATGACCAATATATATATATATATATATATATATATATATATATATATATATATATATTTTATTATCCTCACTCTTAACTTCATATATATAGTAAGTCAAAAAAAAATTCAACATTGACATATTTTAGAAAGAATGGTGTATTATAGATGAATTGTAGTGAATAATGACACGTGGTTTGTATAGCAAATAAAGTAATCTTTTACAGCTACCAAATAAGCCTAGATTGAAAAGAATCCATTAAGTAATTTTGAAGCTATGAAAAATCCAATTTGGAATAGTATTGAAACAATTTTTTGAGTGTGGTATCCAATTACATATGAGTACTTTGTAGGATCTCTTTTGGCCTTGATAAGTGATTCCAACCTCCTAAGCATACTTTCTATTAACTTTTGGCACAAAACTGCTTCAATATGATTTAATTCTGTAGCTATTCTTTCCCATATTTCCAAATACTTTTGGTTTTAACTTCTAGGTGTTGACCTAGCATTTGAGGTGCTTTCAAAGATGTTCAATAGAATTAAGATTAGAAAACTAAGCAAGCCAATCCATTACTTTAATCCCATGATAATCAAACTACTTTGATGCTAGTTTTGAATTATCCTTGAGGCCATTATCTTCCTAAAAAATCACCTCCTCCTCCAAAATGCTAGATTCTTCAATCCTAAGAAGTATGATTTTTTCAAGAATTTCTACAAATTGCTTGGCATCCATCCTCTCTTCAACTTCTGCCATCCTCTCAACCCCATTCCATCCCATATAACTCCATACTATTATATTTCCACCTCCATACTTAACTGTTTTTTCAATCTTCTTTTTCAGCAAGGATTGATCCTTTTATTTTTAAACCACTATATACCATTTGATCCAAATCTATTGACTTTTGTCTCATCTGACCAAATAATTGTCTTTCAATCCTCCATAGTCCATTCCTTGTACTTCAGAGCAATATCTAAGTATTATTTTTGATAGCAAGTAGATAGTAGTGGCTTTTTTTTTCACCACAACTTTCATATTCTATTTATTGAAAACATTTTGAATGGTTTGAGTTGACATAAGATTACTAATAATATTGTTAAGGTTTTTAGCAACCTCAATAGTATCTTTACACTTTCTAGTATTGATTTGGCAAATGATTGTCCTTTCATTTGCTACAATAAGCTTCTTTGGTTTGTCTAATTTAAGATTTTTTCTATTAAAAGTGATCTTTTTTGCTAGCCTATAGATAGTAACTTTATTATAGCCAAGTTTAAAAGTAATTTTGCCATAAGATTTTTGAGAATGAAGAAGAAAAGAGGTGATGTTGTCTTAGAGAGAGT